AGGGTTCAAGACAGGGTTTTGCAATCAAAGGAATCTATACTTAATCAATCTAGCTCTTAAAACTCCTTGTATCAAGGCTTCTCTTGATATTGGGCTTCTCAATGCCTAGCCAACCCTTTCCCAAGGTGGAGGCTATCAACCAAGGAATGATCTCAGAAACAGGGGGTTAGCCAGTGAGAATCAAACCTTGGAGGCCATAGGATCATTGCCCAAACTAATCCATCCAACCCCTTAGACCTCTATTCTAGAGCAAGAGATATTGGAGCTCTTAGTGGATCTTTTCCAGCGAATGCCATCACTTCGTGTGGGGAATCGCCTAAGGACTTACAAGCCAGGGGTAGTGGTCATGTAGCCTTAAGATCTATCCAAAAGAGAGAGAATCTAGATTAAGACCATAAGCTAGAAGGATTAAGCATATGAAACCTCTAATCTATCCCATCTCAAACCCTAATGGGTAACTACTCACTACACATGAATGTAAACACAAGCAAATGCAATAAAAGAGACATCATAAGAAAGAGGAGATGAAATTAAACAACTTTTATTGAAATAAGCAAGTGCAAATACAAAGAGATTATCCAGGATCTAGGATTCAAGAAGCAAGAGCTTCAAGAACACAAAGATGGGATTAGAGCTCTCTAAAAAGTAAAAGACAATAAATTAAAGAAACTAAAACAAAAGTAATCTAAAGCTTGGTGGTTTTTTCGTGGCTTAGAGCCTTTAAATACAAAGAGGATTAGGTTTAGGGTCAAAGGAAAGTCAAGGGGGAAGCAACATTTTTCGGGTTTGACTTTGACTTCCAGCTCGATCGAGTTGAAGCTTGGCCGGTCGAGTTGAGGAACTCGACCGGTTGGTCGAGTGGACGGTCGAGCTGGTCTTCAAGATGGCTTCTCCCTTCTTCCTTTGCGTATCCAGTTGAGCTGCTCCATGTGCCAAGTCCCTCCATGCTCCTCATGTCCCATATGCTCCAGAATGCTCCAAAAGACCTATTTCAAAGGACCAAACATGCATATGTATGCAAATGCAACCTAAAACTAACATGAATGCATAAGAAGAGAAAAGGAACAAGATATGATGCAAATGGATGCTAAAACTATGCAAAAGATGCATAAAAGATGTACTAAAACTATGTAAAATGCAAGTACATCAACACCCCCAAACTTGAACTTTGCTTGCCCTCAAGCAAACAAATAGAACAAGAAAGAGATGAGGTTTGAAAACAGCTGATTCAACACTTAAAAACATGTCCTCAAAAGCGATTTGCTAAATGTCCAACTTAGAGATTCTAGAATGCAACAAGGTGAGAGATATTCATTAAGATTTAACCATGCTTATCAACATCAATCCCACTTCACAGTCACTCAAACAATGCATTCAAATCAGCAAATCCCTTTAACATTCATTAAGCAAAAACAGTGAACCAAAAACATGCAAGATCAATCAACTCATTTGGTTTCAAGGGTTTATGGGTTAAGAGACAAAGAGGGTCTCTTTTGTATGGTGGTTTAGTAACAGGGATCTCTCAAGAAAGTGGCTTTGCTTTGGCAGAAGGCTAAGTGTTAGAACCAAAGATGATGCAAGAACAGCAGCTCGAGCCGCTAATCCTAACTCGATCGAGTTCAACACTTAGAGCTTTTTAGAACAAAATCCTAACTACCCTTTTTGGCATTTCGCCTTTGAAACTGAGGAGCTTTGCTCACTTTTCTTTTAAGAACTTCCTAGGGAGAGGCTTCTTGAGGTAACATCTAGCGGTTTGGGATTTTCTAAACACTTAGGGAACTTTTCTTTCCTTTTTGACACTTGAGGCTTTGCCTTCTTTTCATTCTACTTAGAACCCTTTTTACTTTCCTTTTTTAACTTCCCAAACCTTTACTAGACCCTTTTTAACACTGCCAACTCCCTGGACTTAACCAAACTCTTTTTCCTTTGGGTTTTTCCCAACTTTTTACCACTTTTCTGGTTTTTACACCCAACTCGATCGAGCTCGAGTTGGCACCCCCAAACTTAGCCTGAAAACAATCCCAAGAGAACTAGACAACTAGAACTACTGCCCCTGCCGGTTTAAACACAACACCTTATGCTAAGCAAAGCCAAGAAAGGTTCTCACATTCGCACAAGAGATAATAAGGGGTTTGAAATGAAAAGGCTTAGGTTTAAGGTGTGGTAACTGTCTCAAAGATAGAGATCAGCTATCTGGACAAGCAAAAGGGATATGAAAGGTAAAGAATGTCCAGATATGTATGTGGTAGCCATGAGTTGAAATCAAATGCAAGCATTGGTAATTAAAGATCAAGTTATGGTTCAAATAGATAGGGAAATGCATCAAATCACAGCAATGGTTGAATGAGATGTGCATGCAGCGATATGATCAAGATAAACATGGTTCTTGCTGCTCAATCAATCTCACCCTAATGCACAAAAGAATCTAAAAACAGGGCACTCAAGAAATCGCAAAAGATGGACAAGTTTTCAAAGTCAAATCAACAATGCAAGTGAAAAATGCAATCCTAAACAAGTCTAACAAATATGAATGCAAAAAGATGAAAATATTTTTGGATTTTTTGAAAATTTTATGATTTTTTTGGTTTTTCTATGCAAAAGATAAATGAAAAACTAAGAACAAAGAAAACAAGGTTAAATCATCTCTTGAACCCTCCCCCAAACTTAAATCACACAGTCCCTTGTGTGAGAAAAATTAGTGAAAGATTCAAGAGGGCAAAACCAAGAAAAAACAAGAACAAATGCAAGAAAATATGAAATGGTATATACAAGGGTTGGTGTTTGGATACCTCAGTGTCCCCCAAAGAACTGGGAGACTAGGTCGTGGTCTGGAGATGGGAGACGGCCATCAGGAGCACTCCACTCAACTGGGTTCGGCTCACTCGATCGAGCTTGCTCTTGACTCGATCGAGTTGTGCCTCGAGTTGCCACTCGTCTTCCTAAAACCTGCTCCTGTGAGACTCAGCCAAGAAAAATCATAAAATAAAAGGATAAAGTATAAATGCATAAGATAGACATGGGAATTCCTCCCAAGTGAGCTTGTTTTAGGTCTCTTAGCTTGACCTTACCCCTTTTAGGCCGGGGTTGGATCTTCTAGAGGAGTGATGATCTCCTCTGTGGGGGTCATTCCTAGATATGGCTTGCATCTATGTCCATTCACTGTGAATTCCTTCCCCTCTTGATTGAGCAAAGTGAGGGACCCATAGGGTAGAACTTCGTGAATCTTGAATGGTCCCGCCCACTTTGACCTCAGCTTCCCGGGAAACAACCTTAGCTTGGAGTTATACAAGAGCACACTGTCCCCAACCTTGAAGTCCTTAAGGCGAATCAGTTTGTCGTGGGCTGCCTTGGTTCTCATCTTGTAAATCCTAGAGTTCTCATAGGCATTCATTCTTATCTCCTCCAGCTCAAACAAGTTCATTACCCTCCTTTCTTGTGCTGCCTTTATATCAAAGTTCAGCATCTTTACTGCCCATAAAGCCTTATATTCGACCTCCACAGGTAAGTGGCAGTCCTTCCCATACAGCAAATTGAAAGGAGACCTTCCAATGGGGGTTTTGTAGGCTGTTCTATAAGCCCAAAGTGCCTCATCAAGCCTTGCTGCCCAGTCTTTCCTAGTGAAGCTACAGTCTTCTCCAATATGGCCTTGATCTGTCTGTTGGAGACTTCAACTTGCCCACTGGTTTGAGGGTGATAAGGCGTGGCGACCTTGTGTTTTACTCCGTGGCTTCTCATCAACTTTTCAAACACCTTGTTGATGAAATGGGAGCCTCCATCCGAAATAACAACCCTTGGGATGCCGAACCTTGGAAAGATGATGGTTCTGAAAAGCTTGACAACCACCTTGGCGTCACAGGTTGGGCAGGGAATGGCTTCAATCCATTTGGATACATAGTCTACAGCAACCAAAATGTAGTTGTGCCCGTTTGAAGAGGGTTTGAAAGGTCCCATGAAGTCTATTCCCCATACATCAAAATCTCAACCTCTAGAATTGGGTTTAGTGGCATCTCGTCCCTCTTGGTGATCCCTCCTTTCCTTTGGCATGGATCACACTTGGCAATGTAGTCTGCTGCATCCTTAAACAAAGTAGGCCACCATAAACCCGATTGCAAAACCTTAGTTGCTGTTTTGAATGTAGCAAAGTGACCTCCGTAAACTGACCCATGGCAATGCTCTAGAACTCCTTGCACATCCTCTTCAGCAATGCATCTCCTGTAAATGCTGTCTGGTCCTCTCTTGTACAGGTAGGGCTCATCCCAATAGTAATGCCTAGCATCCTTGAAGAATTTCTTCTCTTGTAAGCATCAAAGCTACTAGGGACTTCTCCGGACACCATGAAGTTCACTATATCAGCATACCATGGCAAATTCTCATCACGCAGAGCCTTAACTTCTTCCAGCCTGGCTTTCTCATCAAAACTCTCCTTCAAGATCATGATTGCCATAAGCTGTTCTTCAGGCATAGAATCATTGATGGGGATCATGTCTTCAACTCGCATCCTAGAGAGATGATCAGCAACTCCATTTTCTACTCCCTTTTTGTCCACAACTTCTATATCAAACTCTTGAAGCAAAAGGATCCATCTGAGAAGTCTTGGCTTTGTATCTTTTTAGCGAAGATGTGTCTAAGGGCAGCATGGTCAGTGTGCACAATCACCTTGGATCCAACTATATAGCTTCGAAACTTCTCAAAGGCAAAGACTATGGCAAGGAGTTCCTTCTCTGTGGTTGCATACTTGCACTGAGCATCATCCATAGTCTTGCTTGCATAGTAGATGACATTGAGTTTCTTGTCTATCTTTTGGCCAAGCACTGCTCCTACTGCATAGTCAGATGCATCACACATAATCTCAAATGGGTGATCCCAGTTTGGAGCTTGTACTATTGGCGCAGACACCAGAGCATCCTTCAGCAAGGTCCAAGACTTGTGGCATTCTTCATCAAACTCAAAATCTGTCTCCTTGCACAGAAGCCTTGTCAAGGGTCTTGCTATCTTTGAGAAATCCTTGATGAATCTTCTGTAGAACCCTGCATGACCCAGAAAACTCCTTATGTCCTTCACAGTCTTGGGAACAGGGAGCTGCAACATGACATCCACCTTAGCTCGATCGAGCTCGATCCCTTTCTCGGAAATCTTGTGTCCAAGCACAATCCCTTCTCGAACCATGAAGTGGCACTTCTCCCAGTTGAGTACTAGATTGGTCTCCTCACACCTCTGCAACACCCTGCACAAGTTAGACAAACATGAGGAGAAGGATGCTCCATAGACTGAGAAATCGTCCATGAAGACTTCTACCATCTCCTCTATCAGATCTGAAAAAATGGAGGTCATGCACCTCTGGAAAGTAGCTGGAGCATTGCACAGCCCAAATGGCATCCTTCGATAAGCAAAGGTGCCATAAGGGCATGTGAAAGTGGTCTTCTCCTGATCATTAGGGTGGATCGGGATTTGGAAGAAACCACTGTAGCCATCAAGAAAACAATAAAAAGGGTGGTTTGCCAATCTTTCTAACATCTGATCAATGAAAGGGAGAGGGAAATGATCCTTTCTAGATGCTGAATTTAGCTTCCTATAGTCAATACACATGCGATGCCCCACTATTGTTCTAGTGGGAATCAGCTCCTCTTTGTCGTTTTTAATGACAGTGATCCCCCCTTTCTTTGGGACGCAATGAACTGGAGATATCCAAGTGCTATCACTGATGGGATAGATTATCCCAGCATCAAGCAACTTGAGTATCTCTTTCTTCACTACTTCCTTTAGATTGGGGTTCAACCTTCTCTGAGGTTCAATGCTTGACTTACTTTCATCCTCTAGATGAATCCTATGGATGCATAGGTCAGGGGAGATCCCCTTGATATCATCTAGAGTGTAACCTATTGCCTTTCTGTACTTTCTCAATTCAACAAGCAAAGCACTCAACTGTTCAGGTTCCAAATCAGAGTTCACAATGACAGGGTAAGTTGAGTTTTCACCCAGAAATGCATACCTGAGGCCCTCAGGCAAAGGTTTGAGGTCGACTTTAGGCGCCTTAAGCTCAGACCAATCTCCTTGAGCTTGCTCCTTGCTTCAGCCCCAGCTCGATCGAGTTCGTTTGTTCGATCGACTCGATCGAGTTCTTGATCGAGCTCACTGCCATGACTTCGCAAACTGGCCTGTCCAATCCTCAATGCTCAGAATGTTTGGAACTGGTCTGAAGGTGTCAAGGAGCTTCTTGTACTCATCAGTTTCTGAGCTCACATATCCCTCTGAAGAATCCTTGGTCAAAGCAACTTGTAGGGATCCTCTGTTGATAACTCTTCTAGAAGCTCATCTGCCAACTGATCCATTTCCTCAACATAAAAGAGCTGACCTTCTATAGTTGGTTTCCTCATTGTATCCTTGATATCAAACTTCATCTTCAGGTCCTTTCCCAAGTTTAACTCAATTGTTCCTTCACAGACATCTATCATTGCTCTTGCTGTAGCTAGGAATGGCCTTCCTAGAATCAATGGATCTGTTGGTTCCTCATCCATCTCAAGCACAATGAAGTCTGTGGGGATTTCTCCACATTCCCTATCCTCAAAGGCAGGTCTTCAAGCATCCCAGTTGGTAACCTTATCGATCTATCTGCCAAGACTAGTGAGATTCCGCAGGCTTGGTACTTGTGATATCCCAGTCTCTTTGCTACAGACAAAGGCATGAGGCTGACAGATGATCCTAGATCGCAGAGACTGTTTTTGAAAGATAGGGGTCCAACATGCAGGGCAAAGTGAAACTCCCCGGATCTTCCTTTTTGTCGGAGATGACCTTCCGCTGAATGATTGCACTGCACTCGCGTCAACACTACCATCCCTTGTGCTTCCCTGGTTCTTTGCTGAACAGCATCCTTCAGAAATTTCTGATAAGGTGGAATGAGCATCAAGGCGTCGATGAAGGGCAACTTCAACTCAAGCTGTCTCATTAGTTCATCAAACTTGGCCTTGTGTGCTTCCAACAGTTGTTTCTTGAACCTTCCTGGAAAGGGCAGAGGGGGCTTGTATGGTGGTGGTCCTGCTGGAGTGTCTTTCTTCTTTGCAACAGGTTTAGCTGGTTGGCTGGAGTTTGCTTTGTCTGTCTCTTCTGGCTCGATCGAGCTCTGGTTTGTCTTGCAGTGTCTCAGTTTCTTCAGCTCGATCGAGTTCTGGTTCAGGGTTTTGTTCCAGCTCGATCGAGTTCGGTCGAGTTATCAGCATAGTCGACTAAATCCTCCCCTTCCTCGTCATCGATGTCCACAGCGATTTGGGGTGGGCTACCTCTACTCGGGAATTGCTCCCACTTCTTAGTGTAACTGCTTGGGCATACTCTTGTGGTGAAGAGGATGATGCACTTGAAGACTCAATGATTTGGACTCTTGAAGTCAATGACTCTAGTTTAGAGTGTATCTCAACCAGCTTGTTGTTCATTTCCAGAGAACCTTTGGCTTGCCCTTGTAAAAGTTGTTGGAGCATTTCCTTCATATCCCAATCTTGAGTTGGTTGGGTATGAGTAGTCCTTGTGTTGAAGCCTTGTGGAACACTTTGTTGTGGTGCGGCCAGGGGGCTTGATAATTGTTGTATCGCCCTTGTTGAGGATTCCTATAGCTTCCTTGTCTATTTTGAATGTAGCAAACTTCTTGTGTTGTCTCCTCCCCTTCCTGGTCCTTGACTAAGGTTTGTTCTGAGACATAGTTGACATGCTTGGCAGGGAATTGGGCTAGGATCAGTTTGTCCAACTTCGAGTTGAGTGCAAGCATGTCTTTTCTCATCTGAGCGTCCAGCTCGATCGAGTGCGGTCGAGCTCCAGTCTGTACTTTCATAGTGCTCTCCATAGCATTCTGTTGATATGGCCATGTTCTCCACAAGTTGCCAGCCATCATCTACATCCTGGTTGAGGAAGTTCCCATTGCTAGCTGTGTCTAGCATCTCCCTATACCTAGGCAAGCATCCTCTATAAAGAGTGGAGAGTAGTGATTCATTGTTGAATCCATGGTGTGGGCACTGACTTGTGTAGCCTTTGAACCTCTCCCAAGCCTCTGCGAATGTCTCATTGTTTCGCTGGATGAAGCTGGATATCTCTCCTCTAAGCTTGGCTGTGCGACCGGTGGAGAAAAACTTAGCAAGAAAGGCCTTCTTGCATTCATCCCAAGTGGTGATTGTGCCATGGGGCAAGCTCTTCTCCCATTGGTGAGCTTTGTCAGCTAGAGACATAGGAAAGAGTCTCAGCTTGATGGCATCTTCAGAGACACCATTGATCTTTGTCAAATCACAAAGCCTATCAAACTCATCAAGGTGGTCAATGGGGTCTTCACTTGGCAATCCATGGAACATCTTGTTCTGGACAAGGTTGATCATTCCCAGCTTGATCTCAAAGTTGTGGTTCTGCACTGGTGGTGGAACAATCCCTTGTCTCTGTTGGTGGCGGTTTGGAGCATCTCCTTGACCAATCGGTCGAGTTTGCCTAGCTCGACCGAGTCCATGCCCAAAGGGTTTCCATTCCCCTCTGGTACATCCATTGTATCAGCAACAAGCACCTCAGGTTCCTCTTGTACCCTCTGTGACCTCTGAACCCTCTTTCTACCCGTTGTAAGTCTAGCTCGACCAAGTCTTCAGTTAGACCGACTCGATCGAGTTCGCATACACCTGCAAAAAGAGACAAAAACCCAGCAGTACAATAGAACAGGGGTGGTATAGCTTGATCGTCCAAGTGTGTTTGAAACTCAAATGCAACAAAAATATTCCCAAATCGGCAACGGCGCCAAATTGATGATAGGATTTGTGTGTGGATGTGAAAAGAATGAAATGAGATGAGTGGAATGCAATCAGTGGTAATGATGGTGGTAAGATGCAAACACAAACACAGTCAACAATTCCCTTTAACCATGATAGTTGATGTAGTACAAAGGGTTATCAATCCAAAATGGGAAACTTGTCACTCTATGAGAATATGAAACAACCAGAAAGTCAAGCAAGCAGTTATAGATTTGAAGTAACACTAACAACCTAAAAATGAAATGCAGTGCAATAAAAGTAAACAAAGCAGTAACAAGTCAGCTCGACCAAGGACTCGAGTCGAGTGGAACAGAGTACCAGCTCGATCGAGTTTAGGGTCGAGTTGAGACAAAAAGCTAAAGGTGACGACTTTAACAAGATAAAGAGAGAATTAGGGTTCAAGACAGGGTTTTGCAATCAAAGGAATCTACACTTAATCAATCTAGCTCTTAAAACTCCTTGTATCAAGGCTTCTCTTGATATTGGGCTTCTCAATGCCTAGCCAACCCTTTCCCAAGGTGGAGGCTATCAACCAAGGAATGATCTCAGAAACAGGGGGTTAGCCAGTGAGAATCAAACCTTGGAGGCTATAGGATCATTGCCCAAACTAATCCATCCAACCCCTTAGACCTCTATTGTCTAGAGCAAGAGATATTGGAGCTCTTAGTGGATCTTTTCCAGCGAATGCCATCACTTTCGTGTGGGGAGTCGCCTAAGGACTTACAAGCCAGGGGTAGTGGTCATGTAGCCTTAAGATCTATCCAAAAGAGAGAGAATCTAGATTAAGACCATAAGCTAGAAGGATTAAGCATATGAAACCTCTAATCTATCCCATCTCAAACCCTAATGGGTAACTACTCACTACACATGAATGTAAACACAAGCAAATGCAATAAAAGAGACATCATAAGAAAGAGGAGATGAAATTAAACAACTTTTATTGAAATAAGCAAGTGCAAATACAAAGAGATTATCCAGGATCTAAGATTCAAGAAGCAAGAGCTTCAAGAACACAAAGATGGGATTAGGTTCTAAAAAGTAAAAGACAATAAAATTAAAGAAACTAAAACAAAATAATCTAAAGCTTGGTGGTTTTTTCGTGGCTTAGAGCCTTTAAATACAAGAGGATTAGGTTTAGGGTCAAAGGAAAGTCAAGGGGGAAGCAACATTTTTCGGGTTTGACTTTGACTTCCAGCTCGATCGAGTTGAAGCTTGGCCGGTCGAGTTGAGGAACTCGACCGGTTGGTCGAGTAGACGGTCGAGCTGGTCTTCAAGATGGCTTCTCCCTTCTTCCTTTGCGTATCCAGTTGAGCTGCTTCCATGTGCCAAGTCCCTCCATGCTCCTCATGTCCCATATGCTCCAGAATGCTCCAAAAGACCTATTTCAAAGGACCAAACATGCATATGTATGCAAATGCAACCTAAAACTAACATGAATGCATAAGAAGAGAAAAGGAACAAGATATGATGCAAATGGAAGCTAAAACTATGCAAAAGATGCATAAAAGATGTGCTAAAACTATGTAAAATGCAAGTACATCAGGTCCGATCACCGGCCGATTCTGGCAACCATTGACAATAAGATTTCTAGGGCACAGAAGCAATTTCAATTTGATAAACGTTGGATTGGGCAGGACGGATTCTCGGAAGCAATTAAACGAGGATTGTTGGATAATCGGATTACTGCAGAAGTAAATGTGGTGGATATGATCCGCAAATGTCGGCACGAAATTTCCCGATGGAGGCACGAAAATCAACCATATGAAAAGGAAAAAATAGCGGATTTACAAAAAGCTTTAGAAGACATTCAAAATGATGATCTTCGAACTCAGGAGGAATAAGATGAGATTACACAAAAGTTGAAGGAAGCTTATAGAGATGAAGAACAATATTGGAAACAAAAAAGTCGTAACCTCTGGCTTAAGGATGGGGATTTAAATACAAAGTTTTATCATGCAACCACGAAACAAAGAAGGGCGATAAATAGAATGGTCGGCTTACATGATAAAACGGATACTTGGGTAACAGGGAAAAAAGAGATGGAGAAAGTGGCGGTTGAGTATTTCTCGGATTTGTTTACTACTACTTCCCCGGACGATTTTACGGATATATTAGATGGAATTATTCCGGAGGTGATTTCGGGGACAGATAACGCATTCCTCACACGGCCAGCATCGGAAGAGGAAGTGCGGGTGGCTTTGTTTTTGATGAACCCGGAGAAAGCTCCAGGTCCGGACGGGATGACGGCCTTGTTTTTCCAAAAATCATGGTCTTTATTCAAAAAAGATATTTTGGGTCTTATTAATGACTTTTTGACAACGGGAGCATTTGATAACAGATTAAATATGACGAATATCTGTTTGATTCCGAAGACAGAGCGACCAACACGGATGACGGAAATGCGTCCGATTAGCCTCTGTAATGTGGGGTACAAAATTATTTCTAAAGTATTATGTGAGCGGTTGAAAATAGTCTTATCACAATTAATCTCGGAAACCCAGTCAGCCTTTGTCCCGGGGAGACTAATTTCAGACAATATTCTGATAGCACAGGAAATGTTTCATGGGTTAAGAACTAATAAGTCTTGCAAAGGAAAGTATATGGCAGTCAAAACTGATATGAGTAAAGCCTATGATCGCGTTGAGTGGCAATTTGTTGAAGCCACCATGCGCAAAATGAGTTTCGACGACCGGTGGATTGGATGGATCATGAAATGTATAAAGTCGGTGGAATATAAAGTACTTATTAATGGGCAACCACGGAGGAAAATAATTCCGAATCGGGGACTAAGGCAGGGCGACCCTATATCTCCTTACATATTTATTCTCTGTACAGAGGTCTTGATATCTAACCTTAAACGGGCCGAATTGAGTAAATCTCTGACGGGTCTGAAGGTGGCTCGGGCAAGCCCACCAGTTTCACATTTACTATTTGCGGACGATAGTTTATTTTTCTGCAAGGCGACAGTTGAGGAGAGCGCTATTTTACTTCAGATTCTTCAGAATTATGAACGGGCATCGGGTCAAAAAATAAATTTTGATAAATCTTCCATCCAATTTGGACATACGGTGGAGACTACGGTACGGGCGGAAATTCATCATATACTGGGTATACACAAGGTTGGGGGGTCGGGAATTATCTAGGTGTCCCAGAGAGTCTGGGGGGTGCTAAGACAAAAATCTTCAGCTTTCTTATTGACAGACAACAGAAACGGATAAACGGTTGGACATCAAAGGTCCTCTCTAAAGGAGGAAAAGAAGTAATGGTAAAATCTGTACTATTGGCAATGCCAACACATGTCATGTCATGTTTCCGATTACCGAAGGGGGTTACGAATAAACTCACAAGTGCGGTGGCAGATTTCTGGTGGAGTACAAATTCCCAAACACGTGAAATGCATTGGCTCGCATGGCGAAAACTGTGTCGACACAAAACAGATGGGGGTTTGGGATTTAGGGTAATCGAAGACTTTAACACGGCGCTACTTGCAAAACAGTTATGACGGCTAATGGATAACCCCGGAATCGTTATTTGCAAAAGTTTTCAAGGGACGATATTTTCGGAACTCAACCCCCTTGGATCCAATACGATCTTACTCCCCATCTTATGGATGGCAGAGTATTGTTTCAGCTCGACCTCTGGTACACAAAGGACATATCAAAAGAGTTGGTTCAGGCTCATCTATCTCTGTATGGTATGACCCCTGGATTTCTGACTCTCGCCCGAGGCCAGCTATCTCCAAAGGAATTAATTACTACCCCCACCTGACGGTGAATCAGTTGATTAATTCCCAGACCTCAACGTGGAATCGCCCACTATTACAGCAATTGTTTGAGAGTGAGGAAGTCACTCGTATTACGGGTATACCAGTGGCTACTGGATATAAACCCGATAATTGAGGTTGGTTTTATACAACCACGGGTCGGTATACAGTTAAATCGGGCTACAATATTTTACAAGACCTCTCAGATAAGGAGGCGTTACCAGTTTTCGGACCTGATATCCGGGGGCTGCAAGCGCAATCCTGGAAGGTTAAAACTACTACAAAACTCCAACATTTCATTTGGCAAATTATTACCGGCTATTTATCGGTGGGTGCGCGATAGTCGGGGAATGCGGATGGACCCGCAGTGCGTGAGATGTGGCATGGGAGATGAGACCATAAACCATATGCTTTTTGAGTGCCCTCCGGCTCGCCAAGCATGGGCACTCTCTCCTATACCTACGCCTTCCGAGCACTTTCCTACGGACGCACTATATTCAAATATGGCACATCTTTTTTGGAATCTCCCAGACAATGATGATATGTTGATTTTCCCATGGCTTCTATGGTTTATCTGGAAAGCCCGAAACTCTAAAGTTTTCTCAAATGATGATCACAATCCGCAGGATGTCCTGGAATCCGCGATAATGGAAGCACGGGCATGGGCAGCAGCCCAAACGGTAACAGAACGGGTAAACATTAATAGCTTCACTCAGGCTAGCCCCGCCCCACTGGGGGAGTGGTGTCAGATTGATAGAGCTTGGAAAGTAACAGAATGTCGGGCAGGACTTGGATGGTACAATTTCGACCCGGACTCGGGTTCAATTTTAATTGGGTCTAGCAATTTACGGTGGGGTTTATCTCCTCTTCAGACATAACTGGATGCATTGGTTTGGTGGGCTATGCAAAGTATGCTAGTCCATAATAAACGCCGGATGAATTTCCAAACAGACTGTGCTCAGTTGGTGAAGATGGTGTCCAAACCGACAGAGTTACCAGCTTTTGCGATATTACTTGAAGAAGTGGCGAAATGCAGAGGGATGTTCCAGGCGTTCTCCCTCACATACATTCCCGATTCGAGCTCAGCCCCACGATGTGTACTACATAAACTCAGTTCCACCGATTCCGCCTCCCGACCGGATTTAGGAACTTAGACTGTTGACAAAAAAAAAAAAAAAAAAAAAAAGCTTGTTACTTTTTTTTTTGGTCAAAATTCAAAGCTTCTTACTAATAAGTTTTTTTTTACGAAGAAAATCCTATAAACGCAAACACCAACACGTGGATTTAGGAGTATAATTTTAATCCGTTTTCTTTTCGCTGTATTATACAGTGTTACGGTCGCCTGTCAGATATTTTGTATACTGTGGTGAATTTTTAGTTTGTTTTCAAGTTTAGCTCATGCTTTTGGATCTGTGAATTATAAGTTCCTCTTAATTTCTGCTGTTATTAATTATTTTATTTCAGTAATGTACCCTAATATTTATGTATTTGATTTGTAATTATAAAATATCTGTTTAATATACTTGAAAATCTATATATATATATATATATATATATAATTTCAAGCCTAATCTTTTCTCAGTCCTCTACATCATAAAAAATGAGCTCTAGAAATTTGACACATCATTGTTGTATATCTTAGGGTCTACACGGTAATCCAAGAATCTTGTTGAATATGGAATCTTGCAGAATTAAATGATGAATAATTCCGGAATTTGGCTGATTACTTAGTAATGTGAATGGTAACGGCTAAATTTTGCTGAATGCGAAATAAATATATAACAAATTATTAGTACAATAGAATAACAAAATATTTACCCAGTCGAATCAATAAACAAATAAAAACATATAGTTGTGAAATAACTAAAAAATAATTAAATAATTTAAAAAAAAAATATATAGAATTTAAGAATTTAGATTTTGGATTCATAATACTTTATTTAACATAAGAATTATAAACTTTTAAAAATTGCACCATTTTATATGAAAATATAATTAGCATTTCACTGTTGAAAATAAAATAGAACACAAGTTTGTTATAGTATTTAAAATTTAAACTTCAAAAATGAATTTTAAGAATACTCATATAACAAAGATTATATTTATTTCATTTTTTTTGTTAGATGATGCTTGTATGATTTTATAACAAAAATCACAATCTGTGGAAGTCAAGTAAAATGATAAATGTTTTATAGTTAACATCTATCATTTATTTAAGTTATAAATGTATATAGCCTCCTGATACATGCCACATCGTCCATTGTTGTTGTTCTCTTGTTCTTCCACAAAGTTTATGTGCTATAAAGATTCAAAAATCTATATTAGAGTTTATTATAAATGAGTTTTTTTTTGTTTATTATAAATGAGTTTTTTTTTATACTAAAAGAAGCATTATTTAATATATTATTTCATATATTTGTATATGTTCGTCTAAACATTTTTATTACTTGGATCCACATCTGTAGATTTATTTTCCTGATTCGTAATTTAATTTTTCGGATTCATAATTTTATTATTGGACTGCATTTTTTTTAAATCAAATTTAATTTCTTAGAAATAAACAATAAATTATCTATTTAATTATAAAAAACTAATAATTGTATACAATGATTGGTATATTAAAAGCAGGTTAGCATGTTTTTTCATTTTTGTTAAAGTGTTTTCTGAAAAAAAGAATGTTTTCGTCTTGTAGTGATAAAATCTACAATTGCTCAACTTTTCTCAATTCCACAATTCTACAATACCTCATAATTAACTGGTAACATATTAAAATCATATATTCAGCTACATTCCTCAATTTAGCTACATTCCACATTTACCAGTTAGACCCTTAAGTTTAATTGTTTTAATATTCTAGTAATTAATTATTATTCATTAATATAATAGGTTTAACAAGAACAAGAATATGAAAAGTCATTTAAAAAAAAGAAGCTTATGTATAGATTTATAAAAAGTTATTATTTAGTAATTTTAGTTTTATTAAATTATATACTTTGTTTTTATTGGGATGAAATGAGACGAGACCAGACTGGACGGGCTGAGAAGAAACATAATAACAGGATGAGAAGTGAATTTTGTCTACCTCTTATTATATTTAGAGACAGAACGAAAAGAAACAGAAGGACCGAAATGGGACATAACAAAATCAAAGAAACAAAATGAGATAGGATGGTTCTCAGACGGATAAGATATAATGAAAAGCAATAAAATGGGACGAGACGGGTCATGACATAAATTTGCATTAATAATTTCATTGGTTATGTTTTTCATATATATACACTCGAATGAGTGATGAAATCAGAGCATAGTGAATCCATCAAATTTTTGTTTTTATACAGATTATTTTACAGCAAAAAATTATTGAAGGAAGAATAAATGTTGGAAACTTAGAGAGACATCTTAGAGAGAGAAACTTAGAAAGAAGCTTTATAGGAAATTCTGAGGTATATAGTACATAAAATAAAATCTTAGAAACCAAAAAGAAACCTCTCAATTCGAAAAGTTTTTTTTTTTGATAAATTGACGAGTCACTATAGCCTTTAAAGTTTTTTCAACCTCTTCTTCTTGATAATTAACATTTTGATCATTTCACTATCCGTAATCTGCTACACGAGTTATAGTTTTTTACAACTCATATCAAGTAGATAAGATGTTAGAAATAAAAACAGTAACACATAAACTGAAACGAACTTCACTTCTCTTACTTAAGGTAGCAACACAACAACAACAACAAAAAACAGGAAATGCTAGAGACATGGAAAGACCGGATTGAGCTATCACTCTCAAGTGAGTCCTAAACATGTTCCATAAGCTTCACGTCCTCTACATAGTCTAGTGTCATGTCCGCTGTGTAGTCCCTAACTGCCTCCATTCCTTTGATCTCAACTCTTTTGAAAGTGTTCCTCTCCATGTTGTAGTAGTCAACATAAAACGGAGCACATACAGATCGTGGCCACCAGACAACTTCATCGGTACCACCAGCCACTCCAACCATGTATATCATGGCCTCCCCAGCTACAATCTTCGACAGAGGCAGTGGCAATACATTCTTTGACCATTCATGCCTCTCTGCGTCTTCCAGAACCCACAGCTCAAAAATTCTGCTTTCTTCGGTAAAAACACCTAATTTTCCCTTGAAGTTTATAAGAGCACCACAATTTAGATTGATGCCCTCAGCTGCGTTAATAACTCTACACTTCTCCAACCTAACATCAAAGCAAACTATCACACGACCTGAGTGATCGTCCCAAGCTTTATAATACACACCACCATTGATGCATATCCCGTCACTATTTCTATTAGGACAATGACGTCCAATGCCACATTCGATCCTTCTCCATTCAAGTTTTCGAGTCCCTAACGTCAAAACTCGATGCTCAAACCCACCACCGGTTATGGTCAAAACCTTGAATTCCTGATCAGTCGGATCAAACCCAAGAAAACTCGTATTCGTCTTCACTTTTGGTAAAGGCAACAACTGCCCTGTGCTTGGTTTACATATCACAAGAGCCGTTTCTTTCCTTTCCCTTATGTCCTGGAGATCATTAAGGCAGACCAAACCTCGGACGTGACCACAGAGGCACAGACTTCGTATGAATCATCCAATTTGAGCTGGAGATGATAATCTGCGCTTACAGGAGACGACGAGCTCTCACCTTGAGGTGCAGAGTAGAAGCAGAGCTCACTGTCTTTTCGGAAGGTGAACAAGAGCCGAGGACGAGCCAAAGACATGGTCAAGAAGAGTTATGTGAAATACGGACCGCGCAGCGTGGAGTTCCAGAGCTTCGATACGCAGCGACATCTCGCTACAGACTTCCCAGGCAATCTCAAGAGGATTTCGGTGATGAGATCAGTTGAGATTGTCTCTGAGTTTTCTCCTTTTGCATTCGTTGATGAGGACAAAGCTCGAGAGAAGTACTGCCTCCACCGTGTTTTCATGGCGCTTTGAATACTAGAAACCTACTACACTTTGAAAGCAACAACATTTAATTGCCAGGAATCATCAATCAACCAGTTCTCAGTCTAAGCAAGATCCAGCTCATATTCTTTCCCCAAAACCCAATTGAACACTCACGAGAGAAAAAAAAGGAAACTTGAAGCGACAAGAACCAAAATTGTTGAAACATTTCAGGTTAGGGTTTATGAGTCTACAAGAAAAGTGACCAGCGCAGACCAGGAAGCTCCATCACAGCCTCAATTCGAAAAGTATTGCATTTAAGACTAAGACTACTAGTAAAGTCCCATCTAAAATTTCCGGAATTTGAAACGAGAGAGAATAAAGGCTTTACCTTTTTCAACGGGAAGACGAAATCGTCGCAGTCACGAGAGTGAAGAAGAAGAATGGCGAGAGTCGATAGATCGGCGGAAATTAATAAATGAAATTGGCATTAGAAATTTGATATCTCAAAACAAAAAGCTTAAAAACCCAACCAAACCTTCGATTCTCAACTTCTTTTTTCCCCCTTCAATTTACTGCATTAATAGGCTTCGAAAACCCCTTTTGTGTGGTTGTGTGTGTGTTAGATTTTGTCATTTTATGATTTCTTTTATTTAATTGTGTCAAAATGTATGTTCAACCAAAAACATTAGGGGATTACCCACGCCTAAAGCGTGGGATTGAGTTAACTTTAACATTTTCGTATTTAAAATAAATTATTATTGAATGAATATGTCATTTTCTATATTGTTTTTAGATTAATATCTATTTTATTTCTTTCTCAATCCATATAAAATATTTTTTATATAATAATAAGCATATTGTCTCTATTACTAATATTGTAGGGTTTTTTTTTTTGAATAATGAATAGATATTTTGCTATTTATTTATATGTATTATTATATGTAAGTTGTTTCCTATTTTCAAAATACATTAAATATGTGATTCTTTCAAAAGATTATAATTTAACTAAATTTAAAAGACCTTTAGAAATATTGCTGATAAAATGTAGTCAAGGTAAACTTTCTTTAAAATTTATATTAAGAAAGCAAATAGAAATATTCATTACAAACTATTCCGCAACGTTACCATCAAACAAAATCTGATTAACAAATTTTCCGCTGTATTTGTGAGTCAATAAAATTTCTCTGCAATTAATTTGTGCAGTATAAAATCACAAATTTCTCAAAAATATTATTTTACGTCGGAAGTCTTATTCTAAATATTTTCTCCAAAAATAGGATTCCTCAAATCTACCAAAACTACGAATTCACCAAATTTTGACCATAAATTTTAATTTAAAATATGATTCAAACAAAAAAAACAAACTACCATTTCATAATCTACCATTGCGTTTTTGGCAAGTTTCGAATTTTCTCGAACAAGTTTTACCCTAATACCGTAAGAAGAGAAGCCGCCGTCAAGACTTCCGAGGTCTTCTCGTTTGGTTTTTGATCATCTTTGCAAAGCTTCGTCTACACTAGATGGAGATGGATTTTAACAAAGCTCTACAATCAATGACCATAGGAGATAGGCCGCTTAAGCTTCCAAGTCACCAGAAATACCGTTCTACTGAAAGGAACAAGATGATTAATCCGGAAAATCAAAACATGAAAAGCCTCATATGGGATCTCCCGAGGGCTTTTAACTGTTTTGATAGAGTACATGGAGTAGCGCTCAAGAAAGATAGTTTTCAGTTTTTCTTTAAGTATTAGGAGGATCTCAAGAAGGTCTTGAAAGTTGGCGTCTACACACATGATGATTGGTGTGTCACGTTGGAGAGATGGGTTGAAAAACCGCCTGATGATTATCTAACGATTCTCCCAGTTTGGGTGCGATTATATGAGGTGCCGGTGAACTACTATACTGAAGCTACAATCACAGACATTGCAGAGGTGATTGGACAGGTGATTGAAGTAGCATTTGACCCAGAGAAACCCCAAAACCAAAGGTATGTCAGAGCAAGGGTCCTCTTTAACACCTCCAAACCACTTTGTAACTTTAAGACAGTGGAACTACCGGAAGGAGACGTAGTCACGGTTATGTTTGAGTACGAGAGAATCCGGAAACGATGCTTCTAGTGTCAGAGGTTGACACATGACAAGTCTAGATGTCCTGAGAACCCTGCTCGTTGGAGTAACCTTGTCAGAACTCCAGCTCCCGCCAAGGTAATAGCTCCGGTAGTTACAGTGGTTCAGACCCCGCGTCTGCAACCTAATGATCCTCTGTTTGGTGTCTTAACACAAGTGGGATTGGATAGTAACACATGCAAGTGGAAGATAGCTAATGAAGTGCTAGATGTAGCCAGACAATATCTTCAGGTGGTGGATCCGTCTGAGAAGAAAGCTAGAGAGTTGAGAGTGAAACAGTCTATCTTGAATTTGGAGGGAGATACCTTGGGGGCAGAAGACTCTTTTACGTCTTGAACCAGCTCCAATCTTATCTACAAATGTCAACAAAGGAAAAGGACTTGTATTCCACTTCCCGGAGCAGAATGTTTCAGAAGAGCGAGGAGATAGATTGATGAGAGACGCTCAGCTTTCAGGTGGGCGCTCCAATTTGGAACTGCTCCGTAGTATGGAGTTGGCAGCATCAACTGAATCTTCCTTTGCTGACTGTTCTACGGGTTTTAGGGTTGGCACTTCTGGTGCTAGCTCGTCCGGGACAGGTACAGCAAAGAAAAAGAAGTATCGCAAGCGACCCCAATCAATTACTAGGAAATCGCAGAAAAGGGATGCTACAAGCACTCCGACTGAAACAGAGCAACAACAAAGTTCTGGCCAGCAGGAGTCTAGTCACAGTAAAAAGAAGGCAGAAGAAGCTGGAGAGGTCTCAGCCAAGTGTATTAAGAGAGACCAAACAAGAGTGGATCCAATTGATCTGCCGAAGATCAAATAGGTATCTTGAGCTGGAATTGTCGCGGAGTTGGGAATCCCGTGACAATCGATTGTATCAAGGAAATGTGCCGGGTGCATTTCCCTGATATTTTGTTCCTGATGGAGACAAAAAACAAGTTGGAAGTTCTGGCAGAGTTACATGTTGCACTAGGATACAAATGGTTTCGCACAATTGAACCTGATGGTCTTAGTGGTGGTCTTGCTATCTTTTGGAAGGAAAATTTGGATGTTGTAGTCCTTCTAGAAGATAAAAATGTTCTGGATATGAAGATTACAAGTGGTGGTCGGGTTTGGTTTCTCTCATGCATATATGGGAATCCGAATCCAAAGTTTCGAGCTGAAGTTTGGGAACGAGTGACTAGATTTGGCTCTAGTCGGAAGGACGCTTGGTGTATGATAGGTGATTTCAATGAGATTTTATCTAACGACATGAGAAGATTGGTGGTAAAGTGAGGCATCTGTCTAGTTTCAGACCGTTTCAGACTTTTCTGCAAAACTGTGAGGGAGCACAAGGAATAAGTTTACGTGGAGAGGAGTTAGAAACAAGCAAACCATCAAATGTTGCTTGGATCGATGTGTTGCTAACCCGTTGTGTTTATCGATGTTCCCTAGTGGACATCAATGGTTCCTTGAGAGGTATCCATCTGATCACAGGCCTGTTTTGGTCAAGTTCATGGGTGAGAGTGAACCCTTATGTGGTCAGTTCAGGTTTGATAAGAGATGGGCCCCGGACCCTAATTTCTCAACCGTTGGTCAAAAATACTTGGGAGAGTGGAAGTTAATCTCACTCGGGGACAAGTCTATCACGCATTGTTAACTGCCGGAGAGCAATTAGTGGATGGAAAGAGCAAAATGGGTCAAATTCTTTGACAAGGATCACAAAGCTACGAGAAGAACTGGAAGAGGAAGAAGAGGAGCGATATCCATGGTTTACGAGAATTGCTGAGATCAAAATCGAGCTAGCTATAGCTTATTGTGACGAGGAAATCTTCTGGAGACAGAAATCTCGAGAGAAGTGGTTGAGGGAAGGAGATAGGAATACAAAGTTCTTTCAAGCTTCTGTGAAATCTACGAGAGCTAAAAACTCGTTGCAGTTTTTACTTGATGAGCACGAAAGAGAACAGTTTTCTAATCGGGATAAGAGTGAAGTGGCAGTGCGGTATTTCTCCGATTTGTTTAAGACTTCCTCCCCGACGTCTTTCACCGAGATCTTCTCAGATTTTCTCCCTCGAGTGACAGACGCAATGAATGATGGGCTTACATGTGATGTTACTTTGGAAGAAGTCCGATTAGCTTTTTTTTCTATCGAGAGTGAGAAAACACCAGGCCATGATGGAATGACTGGTTTCTTCTATAAAAAGTACTGGGAGATTGTGAAGCATCAGTTGTTTGTGGATGTGTAGAGCTTTTTTAGAAGTGGAAAGATACAGGATGAATGGAACCATACGTATATCACTCTCATCCCAAAGATTAGTACCCCTCGAATGACGGATCTCAGACCTATTAGCCTTTGTACGGTGTTATACAAGATCTTGTCTAAGATTCTCACATCTCGACTGAAGAAGATTCTACCTGCAATCGTGTCTCCCACGAAGTCAGCTTTTGTTTCGGAGAGACTCATCTCTGATAACATCTTAATTGCCCATGAGATAGTCCACAGTCTGAGTTCACACCGTGAGATTTCGGAGAGTTTTATGGCCATTACGACTGATATGTCAAAGGCATACGATCGTGTGGAGTGGAGGTTTTTACGAGAGCTCTTGGTGGCTATGGGTTTCAGAACTATATGGATCAACTGGATCATGAGTTGTGTACAGACTGTCACGTACTCTGTCCTAATAAACGGCCAACCGTACGGAATGATACGACCAAAACGTGGCTTGCGTCAAGGTGACCCCTTATCTCCATTTCTCTTTGTCTTATGTACGGAGGCTTTGGTCCATTTGCTTAATCGAGCTGAAAGTCAAGCAAGAATCACGGGTATTCAGTTTCATCCTAGTGGTCCGTCCATTAATCACATGCTATTCGCGGATGATAGCTTGTTTATATGTCAAGCTACGAATCAACAGTGTCAGGAGCTTTTCGAGGTCTTAAGTGATTATGAAAGAGTTTCGGGTCAGAAAATCAATGCTTCAAAATCGGCCATTACTTTTGGCTCACGTGTCTCGGCAGAAATCAAAGCTTGGATCAAGGCCAAATCCAATATCCTCACTGAAGGTGGAACAGGCAAGTACCTGGGATTACCGGAGTATCTAAGTGGATCCACAAACAACAGCTTATGGGGTACATAAAGGAAAATTGTTATAAGAGACTAAACGGTTGGTATGCTAAGTCCTTGTCTCAGGGAGGTAAAGAAGTGCTACTCAAGTCGGTGGCAATGGCAATGCCTATGTATGCTATGACCTGCTTTAAACTTCCGGTGAAGCTCTGTAAAGATCTTACCAGTGCCATGATGACTTACTGGTGGAGTACAGAGGAGAATAAGAGCAAGATTCATTGGGTAGGCTGGGAGAAATTAACGCTGCCAAAGAAGGCTGGGGGCTTGGGATTTCGCGATATCCAAGTTTTCAACCAAGCTTTGCTTGCCAAACAAGCCTGGAGATTACTGCATGACCCCCAAAGCCTGTTCAGCCGGTTCTTTAAAAGTCGATACTATGCTGATGGTGATCTGTTGTCTGCTTCTAGTGGTCGCGGAGCATCATACGGGTGGAGGAGCATCATCTACGGCCGAGAACTTTTGAGGAAAGGGCTGAGACGCTCGATAGGTAATGGGAAAGCTACTCTGGTATGGGTGGACAATTGGCTCTATGACGGCATCCCAAGTCGACCTGGAGGAAGGCATTCCTTGATGAACATAGAGTTACGAGTCTCTGATCTTATTGATGAGACGAGGCAGAACTGGAATATGACTATACTCAGGGAGCTTTTCTGTCGGGATGATATTGAGCTCATCTGTAGGCAGAGGCCATATACTTCCAGAGAAGATTCCTTTGTGTGGACAGGTACGAAGAATGGGGTGTATACAGTGAAGACGGGATATGATCTCATGAGTAAGATCAAACACAAAGATCTATATACTCAGGCCGAGGCACAACCATCAATGTATCCCATCTACGAGAAGTGTTGGAAGGTAAAACTCCTCCAAAAATCAAAGTCTTTATGTGGAAAGCATGCTCTGGATCCTTGGCAGTGATGGAGAGGCTGAGAACCAGAGGCATTAGGGGAGATTTGGGATGTCTACTCTGTCAGCATGAGTTGGAGTCGATAAATCATATCCTTTTCGAGTGTCCACAGGCAAGATTGGTGTGGGCCTTATCTAATGTTCCATCCCCGGAAAATGGGTTTTGCAGTTCTTTATTTGAAAACCTAAATTTATTCGGGGTAATGGCGAGGAAGGATGTACCGGAGGATATTCGCTCTGTTCCTCCATGGGTCTTATGGGTCCTATGGAAAAATAGGAATGCAATGGTATTCGAGGGTAAGCGGTTTGAGCCACATGAAGTCGTTGGAAAGGCTTTTGATGATGCAAGACAGTGGTCTATGGCGCAAAACCGTGTTGAGAATATAATACCGGCAACGGAACCGGTGGTGATGCGATGGTCACCGCCTGAAACAGGACATTTTCAAATGCAATATTGGTTTCTCATGGTCACAGTCCAAGGCTATATCTGGTGCTTCGTGGGTCCTACGTGACAGCTTAGGGACGGTCCTTTGCCATAGTCGACGTTCCTATACTAATGTCTCCACTTGCTTTGATGCTAAAATCCGGAGCTGGGAATGGGCCCTGCAATGTATGAAGGATATGCATAGAGAAAACGTCACCTTTGCGGCATCATCGATGGAGATCATCCAAGGTCTTAATCAACCATCGCAATGGCCGGCGTTTCTGAGGCATATCGCAGGTCTGATTATGTTGACAAGAGAACAAATAGGCTGGGACATTAGCTTTGAAGACAGGAGATGCAACATGGGAGCTTTCGAAATAGCCAAATGTGTCACATCGGATGATCGGCTATCATCGTATGTAGAGACTGGAGCGCCCTCTTGGATGTGGGATTTCTTCCATATGGAGAGAGCTAATTTGAATGGAGGTGTGTGATAATTTGAATGTCAGTCAACCCGATGGCTTTCTTTCGTCTCTATCAGAGTTTCTTCCCTCTCGGTTTTTTGATCTTGTAGAATCAGAGCTTGTTTATGCTCTGTGTTCTGTTGGTTGTTTTTGTTTTGAGCCTTTCCCGTTTTGCCTCTGTTACTGTTACATTTCCCTCCTTGTGAGGTTTATTTAATACAACGTACGATTCAGTGAAAAAAAAAAAAAAAAAAGAACCCCTTTTGTGTGTTTGTGTGTGTGTGTTAGATTTTGTCATTTTGGTTCTGGAAAGGATGATTTCTTTTATTTAATTGTGTCAAAATGTATGTTCAACCAAAAATATGGCCCAACTCTTTTGGACTTTGTTCAACCAAAATGTAAAAACACTAGTCTTTTGGTCAACCAGTAAAAAAAAGCGTTTTCCATTTTTAATAATTTAAATTCTCAAATACAGTATGTGGTATCTAAAAAACTCAAAAACCATAGTTTCTAACAAAAATTAACGTGAAGAAACGATTGAATGAAATCATTGCATATTTTTTTTTTTTCAAAAAACATTTTGTGTCAAACTCTCACCCATCACAAACCTCATTACGAAATACCAACTTAAGTGAAGACTGAAGATTACTAGTAAAAACTGACATGGTACAAATACTGATCTTATGACAATTTATGCATAGTAGATTTTTCGAACTTTAAATGCGACTGTTTTTTTTTTTAAATCAGATAATTCGAAAAATGAGTTGGATAATTTTATTGTTACATAGTGGCAGAGGCGGAGCTAGAAAAAAGTATATAGTGGAGTCAAAATTTGGGAACTTACAATTAGTAAAAGTTAAAACCATTAGAAACTAACCAAATAACCAATCTATATTACAATTATATACCTTAATTCAATAAAATTTAAGAATTAGTGGAAGTCAATTGACCATCTTGCTAGTTTACTGGCTCCGCCACCGCATATTGGTGACTGTAAACAGTGTTAGCGTAGACAAAATCTGTGGGCTAGTTTGGTGGAATGACATCTTCATACGCATACATTCATAGCAAAGATCACTCCAGTGAGACATCAACTTAATCAATCATGTGCTTCCAACTTCGGCGTCAAACCATGGATTAACTAAAACTATTAAACTATTAAACTATTAAACTATTAATGTATTTATCTAAGTTTCGTTACTAATAAGTTTTCTTTGTACGAAAATCATATAAACGCAAACAATATCATATAGTTCTTTTTTATAATTTTTTATTTTTATTTGTGTTACTGTTTATCTTCTAACCAGTACGTGGTTTAGGAGTATAATTCAATCCATTTCTATTAATGTATACCTATACATTTTATATTAATTGTCATTTTTAGAAATGTATATAAAATATATATGGATGTATTTAACTCAAAACACATTCTAATACATTTCATAACTTTTCTAAAAACGACAACTAATATAAAATGGAGGGAGTAATGTTATTGTCGAATATTTTGTATATTGTGGTGAAGTTTTTGTTTGTTTAAGTTTAGTTAATGCTTTTGGATATGTGGATTATAAGTTTCTCTTAATTTCTGATGTTATTGATTATTTTGAATTCAATTATTTTTACTAGGTTTCGGGTTTTAGTTTGGGCGGGTCGGATTTTTCGAGTTTCAGGTTTACAAATATAGAAATTTTTCATGTTTTTTAAAATTTTGGTTCGAGTTCGGTTCAGATTTTTTCCGGTTTTTGAGTTTTTTCAATTTCAGTTCAGATTTGGGAGATATAGAGATGGAGATAAAAGAAAGAGGCGGAGTGAACAATGGAGAAGAAGAGAATAAGGAGAAAGGAGAGAGAAGGGGTAGTTTGGTATTAAAAAAAAATTGATTAGTACTTTTCCTATTAGCTAAATACGATGTATATTTGTCCTATCTACACAACTTACTGTATAGGAATCAAGTGTTTTTTTTTTCAATTTCAGTTCAGATTTGGGAGACATAGAGAGGGAGATAAAAGAAAGAGGCGCAGTGAAACGAAGGAGAAGAAGAGAATAAGGAGAGATTAGAGAGAAGGGGTAGTTTGGTATTATAAAAAGTGATTAGTACTTTTCCTATTAGCTAAATACGATGTATATTTGTCCTATCTACAGAAATTACTGTATAGGAATCAAGTGTTTTTTTTTCAATTTCAGTTCAGATTTGGGAGATAGAGAGGGAGATAAAAGAAAGAGGCAGAGTGAACGATGGAGAAGAATAGAATAAGGAGAGAGGAGAGAGAAGGGGTAGTTTAGTATTAAAAAAAAAGTGATTAGTACTTTTCCTATTAGCTAAATACGATGTATATTTGTCCTATTTACACAAATTACTGTATAGGAATAAAGTGTTTTTTTTTTTTCAATTTCAGTTCAAATTTGGTTCGGGTTTCTCGGGTCGAGTTTAGGTTCGGATAAAAATCTCAAGCCTAATTTTTATCCTATTTTAGTTATGTAATATTTTTGTATTGGATTTGTAACTGTACAATATTTATTTAGAGTAGTTGGGAGTAAATGAAAGAAAAGTAATTGAAACGGAAGGAAAAATGAAAATAAAGTAAACAGGTGGAATAAAATAAAGAGTGTTTTACTCTATAAAAAATTAATAATAAGAGTAATAAATAACGCTACATATAGCATTATTGAGCGAATAATTATCTTTGTGTTTTCCACTTAATTGGTTAATAACCAGATGGGGAATTGGGAGTAAAAAACAATTTCCACCTATTTTTTTTAAATAACTTCCATCAATTCACATCCTATGTTTTTCCTAAAGAAATGCTACTATGCTTCTACGTGGCCATTATGTGGTTTCAAGTTTAAAATTTATCTTAAGATAGTAAAATTAAATTAAAACAAGACCGTTACTTCAACAGTTAGAGCATGTGCAACAACGCACATACTCACTACGTTTCTTTAGCCCATAATTAGAGAACAATTGCAAAATATTACACATGTGGCAAGCCAACTTCCAGAATCGTCTCTCCGGAAGCAGCCCACAACCGGTTCTACCGACCACATGTCAGCTGTAGAAGGAGCCCGTTTGTGGATTTCGTCGGTGTCCCGAGTTTTTTTTTTCATTTCAGTTTGACTCCTCGCTTTCTCCGCTTCTCGTCGATCTGAAATCGGCGACACGAGATTTCTGTCTCCGATACCCCGTTTCTGCTCTGTTCCTTCTTCTCTTTCGTCCAGTTTTTCTTCTCCTTCTTCGTCGTCTCGCGTTCTCTTTTTTTCGTGTTCGATCTCCGGCGATTTCCGGCGAGTTTTTAGAATTTCGGCGAGTTTCTCAGGTATGGGCCTCTATCCAGACTCAGTATAAAATGAATTTTGGTGGTTGAGTAGTTTGAAAACGTAAATCGGATTTGTGATTTAGGAAATTGAGTTTGCTGGAAATGTTAATTGATTTGCCATGTGTGGTTGTCTGATTTAATCTGAGGTGAATCGAATTGGGTGAAACTGTTATAGTATATGTTCTGTCTGAAACGTGATTGTAATCTCCCGGAAATGGTTTGCGAGCTCATATTGATTCGTTTTGTTGTATCATGTCGGTTGAATGCTTTGTGCGTGACATTGATTCTTAAAACTGTTGTCTCTTGTGTTTTATTATTCATAAAAATCCAACGGAACTAGAAAGCATACATCTTAGAGCTTTGAATGCTCTTTTCTTTTAACTAACATGTATTCTTTCTTCTTTTTCCTCATGTCTCGAGATGGCGTCGAAGAAGACAGCTGGTGGAGATGATGGCAACTCAAATCAGCTCGAGAAAGTACAAGGTTAGGTTTCCGCCTTTGTGTGATAGATTAGCTTGCGGCTGTAGTTATTGTTTGCGGTTTAGGTAGAGAGGTGTTAATGGTTGCGGTTGTTGTTTGCTTTTAATTGGTTCATAGGTCTGATTTAGGTTGTGAGCGATTAGGAATTTTGCTTGTATGTTGCTTATGTTGAGTTAAATGCAATGTCAACCACTAAAGTGTAGAGTTAAATGAGTTAAAAAACTTTCAAAAACAGTTTCATGTCTTGTCGCTTTTAGTAACACCCAATTTTGCCTATAAAGACACAACTTGGTGAGCTTCTTCTTCACTCATCTCGCTAACCCTAAAACAAACCTCTAGGTTACCCACTTTTAGTCAAGTAAAAAACATTTTCTGTTTACGAAATGGGTTCCAATAGTCCCTCGAGCTTTCCTAGATCCTTCACATACCTCATGAACCAAACCGATACACCTCAAACACCTCCGTTTTGTACCCAATCACCTTCGTTTAGTACCCAAACACCTCTCTTTGGTACCCAAACTCCTCTGTTTAGTACTCAGACACCTCTCTTCGGTGACCAAACTAGTACCCAAACCAGCTCCACAGCAGATGAGAGCTCACCATTGCTACACGGGAAGCGAGAAGAAGATGGTCAAACGCAGAAGATGGGGCGCTGGTGACCGCGTGGTTAAACACCAGCAAAGATGGCGTCATTGCAAATGAACAGAAAGCTCAAGCGTTTTGGAAACGGGTTTGCAACTACTATCATGGGTGTACTGCGGTGAAGGACTTCCCTCCTCGCCTGTGGAATACTTGCAAGCAGAGATGGACGAAAATAAACAAAGAAGTGCAGTTGTTTTGCGGATGCTTTGACCAGGCGAGCCGTCAAGCTACAAGCGGCCAATCCGATGATGATATCTTCCAGATGGCTTACAAGTTCTATTACCAGGATCATAAGACCAACTTCATCTTAGACCATGCGTGGAGAGCTCTTAGAAACGATCAGAAGTGGCGTTCTCTTAATAGAGATAAAGGCAAAACGCAGAGCAAAAAGAGCACAGCCACATGATTCCGGAGACGTCGGTCCCAGGGAGGAACAAGAAGAAGAGAGACCGATCGGTGTGAAGGCAGCAAAGGCTGCAAAGTTGAGAGGATCCAAGACCGTGAAGAGAACCAGCGAAAGACAGGGAGGCTGCTATGAAGAACCTCCAAGCCGTGGCTGCTCTAAGTGAGAAGGAGTTCACTAACAAGGACAAATTAGCGGATAAACAAGTCCTAGCTAACCTCTTAGGAAAAACCGAACCACTTAACGAAATAGAGAAAGCGCTCAAGGATAAGCTAATTAGTCAGATTTATCAGTAGGTTTCAGTTAAGTGAAATGTCCTAATGCCTTGTTAATGCCTTGTGTTCCCGGTTTCCTTATAATCTAGTCATGTCCCGTTGTTTTAAATGTTTTAAATGGTTTGATGCCTTGTGTTCCCGGTTTCTTTATATGAAAGTCATGGTTTAATGCTTCCTGGTTTATATCATTAAACTTGTTTTATTCTGTTTATGTTCCAGTTCAAATACTAGTTTTATTGTTGCATGCTTCCGTGTTTTTCGTATTGTTGTTAATATTGCTGTTTATACTTCTGTGATGTTTATGTTATGTATGTTGGTATGTTTGTTGTTTATGTTTGAAGCTTGAAGTTTAATGCTCTGCTTCCTGTATATGGTTCTTGCAGGACCTACTTGAGGTGTACAACTCGGAAAAGCGCCGGTTGGACTTGCTCCAAATCAAACACAAACATGTTCAGAAAGCATTCATGGCATCTTACGATCGGTTTAGGTCTCTTCAGCGTCACACACTCCAGTTGAGGGAAGATATGGCCGCCTGTGAGAACTTACTGATGGAAGCAGAGCAAGATTGCTTGGACTGTGGAGCAGCTTCCCGTGAGGCCGATAGAGAGATGGAGGATTGTTTAGGGCGTCTGAAAGAGACCTCTGCGAAGATGGGAGAAAAGGCGCAAGTGGTGAAACGATCCTTGAACTTAGGTAATGTGTTCTGCTTCCATCAATGTGTATCTGTTCTTTAAATTCCTTCTTAGGTAACGTGTTCTTTAAAGTATGTGTTTATGATAACTAATCAATGCGTATTTTCTTTAAAGTATCCTTGAACTTAGGTAATGTGTTCTTTAAAGTATCTGTGTTTATGATAACTCTGGTTTTTGCGTGTATGCAGACTAAAACGGAGGATCCTGGAGCAAGAGAAGTACCGTGAGTTTCTCTCCTTGTGACTGAAAACTTGTTTTGTTGTTGTTGCCGACCTCTTGTTTTGGTCGTTTGTGTGACACAACTTTTTTTTTTTTGAAACTTGTTTTTTAGTTTTGTCGGCCAGAAAAAACAAACTCGGCCACTATTTTCGTTTGTTTCTGTTTTGTCTCGGCCATTCACATGCAACTCTCGGCCAACTAAATGATGTTTGGAATGTTTATCTATAAAACCTTTTATCTCTTTGTATTGCATCAGCATAAACTCTCTTCTTTCATTACACTCTCTTCAAACTCTCATTCATTCATCAACACAAAAAAATCTTTACAAAATTCTTTCATTCCATTCATTAAAACACCAACTCTTTTCAAATTGCAAAGAAACCTAAAAATGGCATCATCTTCCAACCATCCTTTTTCATTTGATGATGAGTTTCAACAAGCAATCGATTATGAGTTTGCAAACTCTATGAGAGAGTGTTTAGATGATATAAATGAAGTTCTTGAGCCAGAGAAGAGAAGGGAGAAACGAGCGGTCATAGATCGAAGACGTGAAGAAGGGAACATCCGCTTGATCAATGATTATTTCAGTGAGAATGCTATCTATCCCGAGGCCATTTTCCGACGTCGCTTCCGGATGAACCGACCATTGTTCATGCGTATAGTTAACAAGCTATCCGACTTACCCTTCTTTCAGCACATACCGGATGGTACTGGAAAGCCCGGTTTGACCGGCTTACAAAAATGCACTGCCGCCATTCGTATGCTCGCATATGGCAATGCAGCTGATGCAGCCGATGAATACCTCAGACTAGGAGCGAGCACTGCGCTGAAATGCTTGCATAAATTTACCAACGCAATCATCGTTTTTACGAGGAGGACTATCTCAGAAGGCCTACACCAGCAGATCTTAAACGATTACTCAAGGTCGGAGAGACGCGTGGATTTCCTGGCTCAATAGGAAGCATTGACTGTATGCATTGGGAGTGGAAAAATTGTCCCACGGAATGGAAAGGGCAATATGCACGGGGTCATGCAAAACCAACAATCGTTTTAGAGGCTGTCGCGTCGTATGATCTGTGGATTTGGCACGCATTTTTCGGACCTCCAGGTACTTTAAACGACATTAATGTTCTCCACCGCTCACCCGTGTTTGATGATATATTAGAAGGTCGAGCTCCTAAGGTGTCATTCTCTGTTAATGGACACCGATACAAGAAGGCTTACTATCTCACAGATGGTATATATCCGGAATGGTCCACTTTTGTCAAACCAATTCCTCAGCCGGAGAACCGAAAGCAAAATTATTTTGTGCCCATCAATCGTTTGCCCGCAAAGAAGTTGAGCGCGCTTTTGGAGTCTTACAAGCTCGATTTGCAATTGTTAAAAACCCGTCTCTTACCATGGATAAGGAGAAGATAGGGAATATAATGAAAGCTTGTATCAAAACCTCAAAATCACGTTTTCCCGCCAAAATGCCAAAATCTCGAAATCACGTTTTCCGTCAAAATCTCAAAATCACGTTTTCCCGCCAAAATCTCAAAATCACGTTTTTTCCGTCAAAATCTCAAAATCACGTTTTTCCGTCAAAATCTCAAAATCACGTTTTCCCGTCAAAATCTTGAAATCACGTTTTTCCGCCAAAATTTCAAAATCATGTTTTCCTTCAAAATCTTGAAATCACGTTTCTCCGACAAAATCTCAAAATGAAAATTTTTAAATGGTTAACCATTGAAATCCATCAAACCATTATAATTTTAACCATTTCAACCCAACCCAATTAATCTATCAATTCAATTGACCCATAAATCCATTTGTATCCAATTTTTAGCCTATTTAGTCTAATGGATTGGATGGGTTGAATGATCCATTAACTTTTATCCATTTTGACACCCCTATATGTGCCTCTTATTTTGTTCTTGTATTATATGCATCTAGCACCATATTTTATTCCCTCTTGTTTTTGTATGTTTTGTTTTTGCTATAATAATTTAAAAATATATATTAAATTAAGTATCTCTAAACTAAAATATTTTTTAATTAATGTTCACACAGTATCCAAATATGCTCCTCTAAATTTAATTCATATCTTTTTTTTATTCATAATTGTATTATTAATATTCGATATCACACATTCCAAAAATTCAAATATTCGAAGCTGATTTTATTGCGTGTTGGATAATTTACCTACCTATATGAATTTTTTTTGGGGTGATATTGTACAATTCCTCAATTATTGAAACTAGTGTTAGATTAATTTTTCAAAAAACAATTATCCATATTCTTCAAAATTACTCGAGAGAATACAGTAAAATAAAGTAATAATTTTAAATAAGAATTTAAGAAAAAAGTATTTGACAATTCCTCAATTCTAAACTTTGATTCTTTCAATTTTTTATCTATTGAAATTGATTAAAAAAAAAGTAAAAGCTGTAATATTTTATTTTTCTTGTGTCTTGATTAACATTATTGTGCTCTAGATTTTTTCTTCTTCTGTACATCAATCAGGGTCCACCAGTTTTCATGTCGTTCTTTGAAACTGAATTTTACACAATTCTTCACTTATTCTACTACTCTAACTGGTAACATACAAATTAATTATTCTTCACCATTTAGACCCTTAGACTGTAAATAGTATTATGGCCTAATAGCTTTCAGTCAAAACTTTGCAGCAGAAAAATAGAAATTGAGAGAGGTAGAATTAGCATAATCGCAGGGTCTACGCATTTCACAACTTTAATGTTTATACAATTTTTTTCCTGTTACCCTTTTCTCCCGTTTATTTGCATGTTTTCTGTGTTAACCTTTCCAAAAATAAAAAAACCTCAAGGAACTGGCTTATATCAGGAAATGCAAGACCGGAAGTGCTTTGACCACAAACTCATATAATCCCCTCGTTGAATACATAGACTGAAAAGTAACCTCACTACTCTTACTGAAGGTAGCGACACTGCAAGTGAGTCCTAAACATAGTTCATAAGCTTCACGTCCTCTACATAGTCTAGAGTCATGTACGCTGTGTGGTCACTAACCGCGTCCATTCCTTTGATCTCAACTCTTCTCAAAGTGTTCCTCTCCATGTTGTAGTAGTAAACATACAACGGATCACATACATCTTCCGGCCACAACACAACTTCATCAGTACCACCAACCACTCCAACAATGTATAACTCGTCCTCTCCAGCTACATTCTCCCACAGAGATTGTGGCAATACGTATACATTCTTCGACCATTGATGCGTCTCTGCGTCTTCCAGAACCCACAGCTCAAAACGTCTGCTTTCTTTGGTAAGAACACCTAGCTTACCCTTGTAGTTTACAACAGTTGAAGAACCTAACAGATGCATGTCCTCAGCTTCGTTAATAACTCTATACTTCTCCAACCTCACATTAAAGCAAACTATCGCAACAACAGGCTCATGAAAGCGAGCTATATAATACACACCACCATTGATGCATATCCCGTCACTATTTCTATTAGGATAATGACGTCCAATGCCACATTCGATCATTCTCCATTCAAGTGTTTGAGTCCCTAACGTCAGAACTCGATGCTGAACCCCACTGGTTATGTTCAACACCTTGAATTCTTCATCAGTCGGATCAAACCCAAGAAAACTATACACGCTAAAGGTCTTCTTCGTCTTCACTTTTGGTAAAGGGAACAACTGTCCTGTGCTTGGTTTACATATCACATGAGCCGTTTCTTGATCAGCAAGGCAGACCAAACCACGAACATGACCACAAACTTTGTATGAATCATCTAATGTGAACTGGAGATGATAATCTGCGGCGACAGTAGACGAGCTCTCACCTTGAGGTGCTGAGAAGAAGCAGAGCTCACGGTCTTCTACCAAGGAGAACAAGAGCCGAGGGCGAGCCGAAGACATGGTCAAGAAGAGCTCAGTGAATAACGGATCGCGAAGCGTGGAGTTCCAGAGCTTCGATACGCAGCGACATCTCGCTATAGACTTCACCGGCAATCTCAAGAGGATTTCGGTGATGAGATCAGTTGAGATCGTCGTTGAGGTGGAAGAAGGTCGAGAGACGTACTGCCGCCGCCGTGTTTTCATTCCCACGATTGCAAACTTGAAAACTTTGATACAAGAATATTGTAAAGAATGTCGGATCTAGGGCTTTTAAAAAACACTTTGTTTTAAGTTTCTGGTTTATGATCCAACCTGATACGACCCGACCCGGCCCATACTTGTTTTGACTCGACCTGCCTATCATAATATTCTTTATATTATTAATTAAAAAGTACATGAAAAATTTATAACCAAAAAAACAATCTAATTATAAAAAGAAAATATTTGGAAAAAGAGTTAATGACGGTCAATTTAGTACATTGTAATGTTTGGATACAAGAATAAGAGAAAAAAAACTATTTGGATAGAAGAATAAATTGAAAAATTGTTTGGATACAAGAATAATAACTTAAAACAAACCGATGGTTTAGAAAACTTCCGTTTTCCAGCTCTTAAAAATGTGCAAAAAAGAAAACTTTATATAATCTAACGATAATACCAAATCAATAGAATATGATTTTGGTTTTTCGGGTTTAAAGTTAAAAAAAAATAAAAAATTAATTCGGGTTCAATTCAGATTTCTTTTAAAGCTTTTTTTTGGTTTTTGGGTTTAGTGATATAAAAGTCGCTCAAGTTTTTTATATTTCTGAATCGGGTTTGGTTTGGGTTCTTCTAAACAAGTTCGGGTTTGGGTGAAAATCTCAGACTTAATTTTATAGATATATAGAGATATAGAAATTGTTCGGGTTTTTTTGAAAACTTCTCATCGGTGGGTTTTTTTGAAAATATCTGTTCGGTTGAGTTCAAGTATTTTTGGGTTCAGTTCAGGTTTTTCCGGATTTTTTGGATTTTTGGATTTCGGATTTAAACATATTAAAAAAGTTTGAATTTTGTTTAGGGTTTTTAGGTCGGATTAGTGTTTCAGGTCAAAAAATTAGAGTTTCTTTTATTTGGTTCGGGATTTTTTGGATTTCGAATTTTCGGGTTTAGACATATTAAGAACGTTTGGGTTTTCAAAAATTTTGATTAAGGTTTTTGGGTCCGGCTCAGGTTTAGGATTTAGATTTTATTCACAAAATTGCAACATCACACCGCGCGTTTGCGCGGATCCTCTACTAGTTTGACTTATCACTATAGCCTTTCAAGTTTCAACTTCTTCTTCTCGATAATTATCATTCTGGTCATTTCTTGAATCTTCAAACCTTCTCATCTTGATTATGCGCATCTTACACTTCTCCGTGTGTGTTTGTGTGTGTGTGTATCTTTTTTTTGTCGTCAGCCTCTATTTCTACAGCAGTTCGGGAATTCAAACTGGTGAAACATAGTTTACATAATACACATCAATACGTAGAGCTCGAGCACTACGTGCTAGCTTGTCTGCCTTCGTGTTTTTCATCCTAAGCATGTGCGCGATGGAAAAAGAGGTAAACCTCCGCTTACACCGGTCAACCTCGTCAAAAAGTATTGCGAACGCCGGCCACTCCTCTGGCGTATACACCATCTTCACCACATCAGAGCAGTCCGTCTCAAACAAAATTATCAATTTGTTATGCCTTAGCATGCATTGCATGCCCCAAATAAGGGCCTCCAACTCCATTTGTAGGGGCGATATCCCCGTCTTAAGTTACAAGTTCCCATACGCTTATCCTGGGTATTAATATTTAAATAAAACCATCCTAGCCCAGCTCGGCTTCCTGTCTCTTTCCAAGCCCCATCTACCTGGGAAGTATCTCCCTCTCGAGATGATTCCCCTTGGGTCGCTAATAGTGGACATACTGTCACATATTTTTCCTGTGCGGGACCCATGCTAGGATTCCGCTGTTGCTTTGATGATTATTTCATGTGGGTCCTAATCCACATTCGTTATAACCTTATCATTGCGTAATTTCCAAATATACCAAATTAACCAAGGATATAATTTCATCCTATCATCGTTTGGCAGATGCCAAAAAAGATATGCTATATTTGCAAACAAGCTTCCTGTGGGGAACCGATGGGGAGCCGTTGGTATTGGAGATAGAGCCCAAACTTGTAGTGCCGGTGGGCATTCAAACAGTGTGTGGTTCACTGTTTCTGTCGCCATTCCACACTGCATACATTGTGGGTCTATCAGCATACCGCGACTCTTTAGTCTTGCCCCGACCGCTATACATCCCGTCAGAGCTTGCCAAATGAAATGCTGTAAATTCTGAGTACATTGTACCTTCCAAACCTGTGCTTGAAGGCGCCATATATCAGGGCCCAAGAAAATAGGCCTACCAGCATCCAAACTTTGTTGTAGAACCGTGTAACCGACTTCACCGTATATCGACCCGTCTTCGTAAAAAACCTTCCCATGGTGAGGCAAAATTTGAGGTGGGGATCCCGAGAATGATAGAAACATCCTTGCTGTCGAATAATTGATTCAATAGTGGTAAATTCCACGTTGTTGTACTGGATTTATTAACTCACTCACCCGGAAATGAGGGTAGTAATTAATCATGTATCCTGTAACTGGCCTTGGGGTAGAAGCTGGAATCCAATGATCATTTGAAACAGAGATAGATGTTCTGAACCAACCCTTTTAAAAAAAAGAACCAACCCTTTTAATAAATTCTTTAATTAATGTTACATAAATGTATATTCAACCAAAGAGGATGAGTTATTTTAATTAATGTCTTTACTTATGTATCCATTTTTTTGTCAACATGTATTATGCTGGTTAACTTTAAACGATGATATAAATATAAAACTTTAAAAATACAAGTTATAGGCTAGACATATAGCTTTTTCGATACTTTTGAAGTTTTATAGTTTTAAATTAAAGTATTAAATGGTGTATGTGAGTTTAATTATATGGTACATCAGATGAACAAAGATTTTGTCATTATGCTATTTGTTATTGGATTTTGAAATTGGAAAATTATAGTCAATAATAATCCTATTGGCAACCAAAATTAAAGAATCTAATCATATGAAAGTCTTGGCTAGAATACAGAGTATATTTTATACAATAATACCAATTTTGTCCTTTTTCTTTTATATATAAAAATCAATTCCGTACTATTTTTTGTGTGTGTATGCGATAGAACCATGTTTTCATTTTTTCATTTAGGGTTTAGTTTTTTTAGATTTAGGTTTCAATTTTGTGTTTAGTATTTTGGTTTTAGGTTTGTGTTTATATTTTTAGGATTTTGGGTTTCACTTTAGGGTTTTAGTTTTATTGGGTTTAGGGTTTAAATTTTGGGTTTTAGGGTTTAGAATTTTTTTCTTATAGCAGGGTTTATATTATAGTTTTAGGGTTTAGGTTTTTCAGTTTAGGCTTTAGGGTTTAGATTTTTCCTTACGTTCAAAAAAAAAAAGAACCAACCCTTTTAATAAATTCTTTAATTAATGTTACATAAATGTATATTCAACCAAAGAGGATGAGTTATTTTAATTAATGTCTTTACGTATGTATCCATTTTTTTGTCAACATGTATTATGCTGGTTAACTTTAAACGATGATATAAATATAAAACTTTAAAAATACAAGTTATAGGCTAGACATATAGCTTTTTCGATACTTTTGAAGTTTTATAGTTTTAAATTAAAGTATTAAATGGTGTATGTGAGTTTAATTATATGGTACATCAGATGAACAAAGATTTTGTCATTATGCTATTTGTTATTGGATTTTGAAATTGGAAAATTATAGTCAATAATAATCCTATTGGCAACCAAAATTAAGAAACTAATCATATGAAAGTCTTGGCTAGAATACACAGTATATTTTATACAATAATACCAATTTTGTCCTTTTTCTTTTATATATAAAAATCAATTCCGTACTATTTTTTGTGTGTGTATGCGATAGAACCATGTTTTCATTTTTTCATTTAGGGTTTAGTTTTTTTAGATTTAGGTTTCAATTTTGTGTTTAGTATTTTGGTTTTAGGTTTGTGTTTATATTTTTAGGTTTAGGATTTTGGGTTTCACTTTAGGGTTTTAGTTTTATTGGGTTTAGGGTTTAAATTTTGGGTTTTAGGGTTTAGAATTTTTTTCTTATAGCAGGGTTTATATTATAGTTTTAGGGTTTAGGTTTTTCAGTTTAGGCTTTAGGGTTTAGATTTTTCCTTACGTTCAAAAAAAAAAAGAACCAACCCTTTTAATAAATTCTTTAATTAATGTTACATAAATGTATATTCAACCAAAGAGGATGAGTTATTTTAATTAATGTCTTTACTTATGTATCCATTTTTTTGTCAACATGTATTATGTTGGTTAACTTTAAACGATGATATAAATATAAAACTTTAAAAATACAAGTTATAGGCTAGAGATATAGCTTTTTCGATACTTTTGAAGTTTTATAGTTTTAAATTAAAGTATTAAATGGTGTATGTGAGTTTAATTATATGGTACATCAGATGAACAAAGATTTTGTCATTATGCTATTTGTTATTGGATTTCGAAATTGGAAAATTATAGTCAATAATAATCCTATTGGCAACCAAAATTAAGAAACTAATCATATGAAAGTCTTGGCTAGAATACACAGTATATTTTATACAATAATACCAATTTTGTCCTTTTTCTTTTATATATAAAAATCAATTCCGTACTATTTTTTGTGTGTGTATGGGATAGAACCATGTTTTCATTTTTTCATTTAGGGTTTTTTTTTTAGATTTAGGTTTCAATTTTGTGTTTAGTATTTTGGTTTTAGGTTTGTGTTTATATTTTTAGGTTTAGGATTTTGGGTTTCACTTTAGGGTTTTAGTTTTATTGGGTTTAGGGTTTAAATTTTGGGTTTTAGGGTTTAGAATTTTTTTCTTATAGCAGGGTTTATATTATAGTTTTAGGGTTTAGGTTTTTCAGTTTAGGTTTTAGGGTTTAGATTTTGGGTTTAGGGTTTAGATTAATTTTGGGTTTAGTATTTGGTTTTAGATTCTACACCCTAAACCTAAAACCCAAAATATAAATCATAAAACCAATATGTAAACCCTTAACTCGAAAATTACTCTATACCCTAAAATCTAAACCATAAATATCTAGTAGAAGTTTTGTTCTATAACAATAATATTGTAGTATAGTATTTCTTTAGGGTTAATATAGGTAATTTTGTGTGAATATATTTATGTATTATAGCCAAACATTTGTTATGGCTATATTCTTAATTTTTTTCCCAATATGATTATCATACTATTATTTGCAAAGTCAGAATTTCGAATGGAGGCCCCACGTTAACTCTCAGCCACGGAATTACAGAATTATCCTTAATGAAAATCTTATCAATATCTTTTTTTAATATCAATTTTGATAAAATAAAATAAAAGGAAACTCTACAAAATATATCTATCTCCTAAATAATACTTAATATAACAAAAACAAAACCCTAGACTTAAATCTCAATATATATAAAACCATAGGTGGAAGACAAAATCAACCACTTTATTCTTTTCTTCTTCACCACCACGCTCCATCGTAGCTATAAAGTAGCAGACTATATGTTTTCTTTATTGGATTATGATAAAAGAGGCAACGATCTGATTGAGCTTTGTGTTCGAGTATTGATTTTCTGTTTTCTTATTATGGCAACTAGGTGTGAACCCGCGCAATGCGCGGGTGAATTTTGTATTTTATATGTTGTAAGTTTTGTAGATCATTTTGTAAGTGGTTTGTGTTTAATTACACAATTAACTGACACTTGCAGGCATGATTTGTGTCTCATCAACGGTTTTTTTTACCATAAATGTCTGTCTATAGAATGGATTCCGCTATATTGAATGGTACATGGGTTAGGTTAAAACACGAGAAGATTATTGTCTAAACTAATAAGTAATAACTATCTGCAGAAAGACACTCTGGGGACAAAAGTCGTAAAGGAAAGATAAACTAAATAGTGAAACTAACAGAGAAAGTAAAATTTTATTAACTGAATACAACCTGAGCAATGACTCAGAAGAACGACTTTGTAAAAACTTTAAAGAGCATGAATTCATCGGGGGAGATTCGTCTAAACTAAACCCTAAACCCTAAACCCTTTTAATAAATTCTTTAATTAATGTTACATAAATGTATATTCAACCAAAGAGGATGAGTTATTTTAATTAATGTCTTTACTTATGTATCCATTTTTTTGTCAACATGTATTATGCTGGTTAACTTTAAACGATGATATAAATATAAAACTTTAAAAATACAAGTTATAGGCTAGACATATAGCTTTTTCGATACTTTTGAAGTTTTATAGTTTTAAATTAAAGTATTAAATAGTGTATGTGAGTTTAATTATATGGTACATCAGATGAACAAAGATTTTGTCATTATGCTATTTGTTATTGGATTTTGAAATTGGAAAATTATAGTCAATAATAATCCTATTGGCAACCAAAATTAAGAAACTAATCATATGAAAGTCTTGGCTAGAATACACAGTATATTTTATACAATAATACCAATTTTGTCCTTTTTCTTTTATATATAAAAATCAATTCCGTACTATTTTTTGTGTGTGTATGCGATAGAACCATGTTTTCATTTTTTCATTTAGGGTTTAGTTTTTTTAGATTTAGGTTTCAATTTTGTGTTTAGTATTTTGGTTTTAGGTTTGTGTTTATATTTTTAGGATTTTGGGTTTCACTTTAGGGTTTTAGTTTTATTGGGTTTAGGGTTTAAATTTTGGGTTTTAGGGTTTAGAATTTTTTTCTTATAGCAGGGTTTATATTATAGTTTTAGGGTTTAGGTTTTTCAGTTTAGGCTTTAGGGTTTAGATTTTTCCTTACGTTCAAAAAAAAAAAGAACCAACCCTTTTAATAAATTCTTTAATTAATGTTACATAAATGTATATTCAACCAAAGAGGATGAGTTATTTTAATTAATGTCTTTACTTATGTATCCATTTTTTTGTCAACATGTATTATGTTGGTTAACTTTAAACGATGATATAAATATAAAACTTTAAAAATACAAGTTATAGGCTAGAGATATAGCTTTTTCGATACTTTTGAAGTTTTATAGTTTTAAATTAAAGTATTAAATGGTGTATGTGAGTTTAATTATATGGTACATCAGATGAACAAAGATTTTGTCATTATGCTATTTGTTATTGGATTTCGAAATTGGAAAATTATAGTCAATAATAATCCTATTGGCAACCAAAATTAAGAAACTAATCATATGAAAGTCTTGGCTAGAATACACAGTATATTTTATACAATAATACCAATTTTGTCCTTTTTCTTCTATATATAAAAATCAATTCCGTACTATTTTTTGTGTGTGTATGGGATAGAACCATGTTTTCATTTTTTCATTTAGGGTTTTTTTTTTAGATTTAGGTTTCAATTTTGTGTTTAGTATTTTGGTTTTAGGTTTGTGTTTATATTTTTAGGTTTAGGATTTTGGGTTTCACTTTAGGGTTTTAGTTTTATTGGGTTTAGGGTTTAAATTTTGGGTTTTAGGGTTTAGAATTTTTTTCTTATAGCAGGGTTTATATTATAGTTTTAGGGTTTAGGTTTTTCAGTTTAGGTTTTAGGGTTTAGATTTTGGGTTTAGGGTTTAGATTAATTTTGGGTTTAGTATTTGGTTTTAGATTCTACACCCTAAACCTAAAACCCAAAATATAAATCATAAAACCAATATGTAAACCCTTAACTCGAAAATTACTCTATACCCTAAAATCTAAACCATAAATATCTAGTAGAAGTTTTGTTCTATAACAATAATATTGTAGTATAGTATTTCTTTAGGGTTAATATAGGTAATTTTGTGTGAATATATTTATGTATTATAGCCAAACATTTGTTATGGCTATATTCTTAATTTTTTTCCCAATATGATTATCATACTATTATTTGCAAAGTCAGAATTTCGAATGGAGGCCCCACGTTAACTCTCAGCCGCGGAATTACAGAATTATCCTTAATGAAAATCTTATCAATATCTTTTTTTAATATCAATTTTGATAAAATAAAATAAAAGGAAACTCTACAAAATATATCTATCTCCTAAATAATACTTAATATAACAAAAACAAAACCCTAGACTTAAATCTCAATATATATAAAACCATAGGTGGAAGACAAAATCAACCACTTTATTCTTTTCTTCTTCACCACCACGCTCCATCGTAGCTATAAAGTAGCAGACTATATGTTTTCTTTATTGGATTATGATAAAAGAGGCAACGATCTGATTGAGCTTTGTGTTCGAGTATTGATTTTCTGTTTTCTTATTATGGCAACTAGGTGTGAACCCGCGCAATGCGCGGGTGAATTTTGTATTTTATATGTTGTAAGTTTTGTAGATCATTTTGTAAGTGGTTTGTGTTTAATTACACAATTAACTGACACTTGCAGGCATGATTTGTGTCTCATCAACGGTTTTTTTTACCATAAATGTCTGTCTATAGAATGGATTCCGCTATATTGAATGGTACATGGGTTAGGTTAAAACACGAGAAGATTATTGTCTAAACTAATAAGTAATAACTATCTGCAGAAAGACACTCTGGGGACAAAAGTCGTAAAGGAAAGATAAACTAAATAGTGAAACTAACAGAGAAAGTAAAATTTTATTAACTGAATACAACCTGAGCAATGACTCAGAAGAACGACTTTGTAAAAACTTTAAAGAGCATGAATTCATCGGGGGAGATTCGTTTAGAGGTGTTCTCTTCTCTTACATGTTCTCTTCTCTTCCACAAGTTTCGTCCGTTCATATGTAGAATATAAAAATATAAATATAACTTTATTAACATCATCTCTTGCAAATAAAATGAAAAAGCTAGGGAAGTTGCAGGAAACAATTACTGCAGAAATCGATTTGTGTTTCAAAACGATAGTAGTATATCTTCTATACTGAACGCTACATCTGGAGCTGGAGTGATACTGTAAAGTCTAAACCATGAGAATGGTCTACAAATCGATTTGCCAATTCCTCTTTTCCATAGGTTCAACATCAAATAAACTCTAAAAGCTTGAAAACCCAATCAAATATGCTGCAACCTGCAAAATTTCCAAAGCGTACAATGTTAAATAGTGAATAAGAGCAGTTACAGTTGCAAAGTAATAACACAATCTATGAAAAAAATGGAATCTCGTCATCTTGACTCTTTTATCTTAGTTCAGTCAGTTAGCAAAATGACTGAACATCAATTACTTGTTAGCAATGAACATTGTAGAAGGTCTGGTTCTAGACAAAGCTAAACTATGGATGATATTTAGATTCATTATCTTCATGAACACTTAATATTTAGCCTATGATCAGCTCAAACACTTTAAATGCAGAAACCCCACAAATTTAGCTCAATGTAGAAATTAATCTGAAGAAACGCATTGCTTCCTAGAGGTGGAGAAACGAACCATTCATTTGCCACCACTCACAACTCCAATTTTAAGAAGAGAATAATAAAAGCAGGCAGATATCTTTTAGTGAAATCAAAAACCTTTCTGACTAATCTCTAACCAAAAGTTACATAAATTATCAAATTTATCATGATAGTGAAGAACATATCAAAACAGCATACTTTTACTCAATCGAGTTTTAGACCTTTTCTTTCTTTCTGAACAAACCACAAGTGATATGGTAGAAATACAAGAGGATAGCATTTTCTGAAAAGGACTTGATTCCATTTCCTAGACTATATGAAGGCTAGAGTCATACGAATATTTGGAACAAATGAAATGAGTTACGGACCTGCGTACGTTTTGGAGTTTAGGAGCCGGGACAACCAGGTCTTAACTTCATTATATTCCCAGTATATCCACCCATGCAAGAGAAACCCGACACATCAACGTCAAGCCATGCTCCCAGTGCTTGTAGACTGAGTACTTGAGGAAATAGAATATAGAAAACCTAAACTTCGTAAGTCAGAACTCGGATTTGGCTTAGTATGACATAACATGCAAACAACATAAATGAGTATCTAACAATAGCAGCAGCAGACTTTTGATTAAATGTATTACCTTGGTAAAACTTAAAATTGAAGAACTGGTATTGCCTTCACATCTATACTTGCAATTCCACCTACATATTAGAAAACAAAGAAATACGTTAGGTTTCCAAACCCAAATAAGCTTTTATTATAATAAAAGAAACCAAAAATTACGTTAGCTTTGCAGCTGATTCCACATTATACAACATAAAGAGTATTATAAGATTGATTAGTTACAGAAGTAGGAAAGAGACAAAAGTCTTTACATTGGTCTGCCTCTTCGTTGAGTTGGAGCGAACTGACATTAGCTGCAAACAAACATTCATTTTCTGGTACCTTTAAAAGATTTCTATTAATCCAAGATATAAAGAATAATGCTTCAGACACATCACCTTCATATTCTTTCTCCATTAGATTTAAAGTCAGACCTCTAACTTCTTCATCATAGAACTACATGAAAAATTCATTTGAAACCAATTCATTAAGTTTGAGTCTGGTGATAAGTCAAGAGACAAAACTCTCATTTGACGAAAAAAATGACACAAAAGAGAAAGTGGTACTGACCGGGACTTGAGGCTATGGAGGAGTACATGTGAAGTGTTTCCACATTACCACATGGAGGAGTACATGTGAAACCTAAAGCCACTCTTGATGCCACATTACCTTAACATCGAAGTTGCACAAAAATAGTCTAACAAGAAGAGCAAATAAATGCAGAGAAATGCAAGGCAAACAGGATGCATTACTTACTTGATCAGTCAAACAATTTGCCAGAATCTTGAGTCTGTCTAGAAACTGATCAAGTTTATCTCGTGTGTCGAAGCGCAACAACAAGCGAAGAGCATCCATATAAACCTGAAGTTTTAATATTGCAAAGCATAAGACATCAACATTCCAATTTTTGAAAAATGAGAGAAAAATGTAAAAGAGAATTACGTCTGTTGCAACAGCATCGTCTTTCTGGAGCTCTTTACACATTTGGTGATCATATATTTCTTGTACTTTACCTATGGATGAACCTCCTTCCAAGTAACAAAGAGCTACATGCGACCAATTATGCGAGTACCTAATTAAAAATGTTCCAAAAGTATTTGGTTGTCAAATTAACTGGTGATTCCAGTGATGACCAGAAGAGAGGATTACAATTTGTTTGTAAAATGCTTTTTATACCTTAAGGAAGAGCAAGAATCCCAAAAAGGTGAGCAACCTTCCATGAACTCTACTGCTTCCTTGAAACGACATTGTGTTTGAAGAACATGACACAACTGCCTCAAAGAAACAGATGAGAAATGAAAGCTTGCATACGTATAACAGGACATATCAGCAGGTAACATAAAAGATTGAAACTCACGCAGTGATGAGCCCAAGAGTCGTTTCTGTTGATCTCATAGCCTTTCCTGGCAGCTTTCTCAGCTTCTGCCAAATGTCGAAGCTCCATTAAGGGAAATGAATATCATCCATCTATGACCCGATTCCTGGTCGGAGTAGAGTCCATAAGTAACTGATGCAGGCATTTCACTCTTCATCTTGACCCTGTCAAATTATGAAGAACAGAAACCTGAAAGTAGAAACCAAATCATCAGAGATTAGGCTGAGCTATAATTTCTCGATCCCGTAAAGAAAATAAACAAACCCAAAGCAAAGTCGAGAGATTCTTTCTCAAGAAGGAAGATCAAAGCTTAGATGAATACTTACAGTGTTGACTCGTGACGTTGCGATTTGAAACAGAGATGTTGAGATCGCAGGAAGAAGACGACTGGACTTTAAACTTGAAGATGTTGAGGACGCTTACTTTTCCGGCAACTCTCACGAACGTGTTGAGAGGGATGTCGCCGGACATGAAGTCAGAGAGGAGCTGCGATTCGGAGAGTAACCGATCCGCCATAAGCGTCAGCGTTAGGTTCATTGGCAGCGTTTTCTCCGGCGCGATTCGGCTCGCCGGGATATGAGCTTCGCCGATCAATTGGCCTCTGTAATTGAGCAACGCCGACGACGAATTGAAGCTGAATCCGACGCGGTTTCGGGTTTTCAAGGAGAGATCGACGTGGAGGGTTAGGTTTAGGATGACTTTGACAGCTACGGCGTTGATGGAAGCTTGGAACCGATCTACGTTGACAATCCACATCCCTTTTTCTTGCCTTTTCAGATCCTGCAGGCTGCAGAGCTTTTTAGTTGGCGTGGAATTTTTTTTTTTTTTTTTTTTTTTTTTTTCAAGCGTTGTTAGAGTTAAAATTAAAAACAACGTCGTTCTGCTGTCAATTAAGACAAAGACGACGTCGTTTTGGTGTAAGACGAAAAAAATAAATAAATAAAGCGCAATACGACGTTGTTTTAGTGTTAGGCGAAAAAAAAAAAAAAAAAAGTGTCACATGTCAAAGACTGGAAAATGTCCAAGTCTTATTAGTTATGTAGATTTGGGTTGCTCTCTAGCTGTTGCTTGTGTTGCACTTTTGATCTCTAGCTGTTGCTTGTGTTGCACTTTCTGTCTTTGGATGAAATCTTTGATCTCGAATATGCTGTTTTGTTTTGGGGTTGGTGGTTTATAGTGTGAACAAAGGGATGGAGTATGCTCATCGAATATGGGGGAATAGGACTGGGAATCATCTTTGCTTTATTTCTGCGTAAAGGTTATATTACACTACGTCTTGGATTTAAGCTCGCTGGTTTATTTTCACTTGGTGCTGGACAAGGCTTCATTGGTTGGTGGATGGTTAAAAGTAGTTTAGAGGTAAGCGTTTAGGAACTGGTTGAATATCAACGTATTGGATCAAGTGTAGCTAAGTTATCACTTTTGTCCTGTAGGAGCCCCCATCTAAATATTGTGGACTTTTCTGGACCGTTCTCTCTGTTGTTATGCTCGAACCGCCAGCTGAGTCACTAACATGAACGACTACTTCGTCTATGTGACTCTCTGAAGCTCTTACAAGAAATCCGGTCAAGATTTAGGTAAAGTTGTGGCCACTTTCAAGCATACGAGAGACCTCAGGTTCATCTCTTGAAACCTTCTGCCTTTGTTTCAGTAAGTTCATATTGTGTGTGGTGTTAAAGACTTGTAATATCCCGATTTGTGATAAATGAGGAGAGGCTTAAGAGAATTGATTTGGCTACCTATGTCAACAATGTCAACAAAGTGCACTTACCTTTTCGGTCAAAGGTCTATAAGTAATTCCAGTTAAGCGTGCTTGAGCTGGAGTAGTTGAAGGATGGGTGACCTTTCGGGAAGTGGTTTCCGAAATCGTGTGAGTGAGGCAAAAACACGGGGCAAGGTCGGGTGTTAATTGCAGGGATAGTAAACAAGTCATTAGAGCCTCTAAAAAAATACGGACCGGCCGTGGGACAGGGGTGAGGGCCACGGGCCGAGATGGGCCTACGGGTCCAGAGAGAGGGCGTGAGTGACTCACCGGGAGGGGTGGTCGGGACGTTATAAGACTTCTCCTTTTCAACTTACAAATTACAATACTTAAAACTTGATTGTCGAGCCTCTAAATTTTCTGGGGATTATGCTTAGTAGTTTGATTTTTGGACACTGTTCAGCCTCCTTCTCTGTTTCAGATCTTCTCAAATGTCTTGCGTGATCAGGATTTGTTTTTTCTCAAAGAATTTTGATGTTGTTTGCAATATACAATGCAGGATAAGTGTAATAAATATGACGAATGTATCACTATCACAAATATTTATTTCCTCTTCAGTTTTTCAAGTATTGTATTATGCAGTTAATCATGGTATATGAGATTAATTACTTGAATATTGTATATACCTATTTCTCTTTTATGATTTTATATATAAAATAATTAATTTCTGCATTGATCTTTCGAGATTCGTATTGAATCCTTTGATTCTTGAAGTTTATGAATTCAGATCAATATATGTACAAATCAGTTGTCATCAAATGTTAAAGTTTAATCATCTTCATATACAGATTTCTAATTTTGTTTCTTATTTTAATGTATAGATTGCAGAAAAATAAAAAAACATAGCATATTGGTATTTGATTATGATACTTGATATGTTATATGTTAAAAAATTAACATATTGATCTCTTATTCTTGAATGAAATTTTGCTTATGAAATGCAAAAGATTATTAACACGAAGTTGTTAAAGTGGAAGCTGATCTCTTTCACGCTCATCACCATGTCTCTGCTTATTTTTCATGAGAGAGTGAATGATGTTTCAACCACTGTTGTTGTTGCTTAGGATCCAAGTTACCTCATCTCCACCGTTGAGCTGTTGTTGCGTTGAGTAGAACCTGTTGTTTTCATCGGTAAGCAAGATAGGTTTATGATTTCCGTTTATGTAATTGGTTTATAAGTTTGTGGACATTGTTGCTTGAGGCCTAAGCTTCTGTTGGTAATTGTTACCTCATAATATGTGTGATTTTGCTCCAAAATATGTTCTTGCTTTTAATATCCACCATGTTGTCTTTCTTAACTAGCGCTCGGATGTGAGCTTGTGGTTCTCCCACGATACTCAGTCTGTTGCTCATTGAACTGATTAAGGAGAGCCATATCATTTAAATGTGTATTGCCGATGTCACAAGAGTGAATTCGTTCAATGCTCGATGAGATAGGAAGTTGTAAAGCAGTTGGATGCTGTTTAGCTAGGGCATGTGCCTTTGATGAAATAGAGTAATGAAAAATATTATTACCATCTAAGATTGTTTAACCTACTTTTAGTTTGATGATAAATTGCTATAATTTTCTTAATTTCATTAATATTTTAAGTCTTAAAAATTTCATTATTATATCTAATATTTTAGTTTCATTTATATTTCATTAAAATATTTTAATATCTCTTATTTTTCTCTGATTTTCATTATTTTGATTCTTATCTTGGAGGCACAAGGAGGAGAATGAACCACAATATAAGCAACAAAGTATAAGAGACAAATACCCGACTTAGTTATAAGAGTTTGTAGAAGGTGATATTTTATTCAATACAGAGGTTACAGTATATATACAAGTAGAGAACGTGTCAGAGAATGCAATCAGAGTTATTACAATATATTTCCTGTACATAAACGAGTCTGTAATTGATGCAATCCTTGATACGAATCCTTGATACGATCATGATATGATTGGATCCTTAATATTAGTCATAACAGCCTTTAAATTTAATAACCAAAGCTACACGTAACCAAAGCTACACGTTACATGAATACAAGCAACAAAGTAAAGAGTCTTAGTGTAAGCTAAGTTTATGGCATAATTGAAATCCTTAAAGTATAGCATTATTAAACTTCTAAGCTAAGTTAATAGTAGAAGGAATCTATGGTTTGGAAGAATCTATAATACATTATAGCAGCTGCCTGGGGCCTCTCAAGCATCCAACTCACCTTTCTCGGGATCATTCTCACGTCGCCACGTCAGCGTAAACCTTCTGAGTTTAAAAAAAAAAAAAAAAAAACAAACGATTCGGCTTCTTCTCTACGATTCATCTTCATGACCTTTTGGGTTCTCTTTATTCCAAACGATGTTATTCCATGATTCCATCTATATATATTCCTCCACTCTAGCAGACTGAGTTGGCACCACACAGCTAAGAAGCAGATCAAACACGGAAGAAACTCGGAACCGACGACGCCTTTCTCTAGCCGACCAACGACGCCTCGGCGTCACGGATCTTCTCCGATCCATCTCCTCCGCAACGTCCACAAAGTCCGAGGAGGAACTTTGATTTCGATTCGTGGGATCCTGAGTCTCAACACGAAGCTTCTTCTTCCGCGAATCATCATCATCTGTGGAACTTCCTCCGATCCATCCACCAGACGTTTACAAGCAGACTCAGCCACCGATGCAATTGTTATATCTTGCATCCTTTATCTTCATGGTATAATTCTGAAAGGGTTCTTATTTGATTTGAAGTTCAGATCTCTGTGTAAAGCTCTTACCTTTGCGTTGTGTAGCACATCGGCAATCTCGCTGGTAACCTCAAGATTGTGCTACCAGTTCCCGCCTTCAAAGTCATCAATGGTGGATCCCACGCAGGAAACAAGCTTGCTATGCAGGCACGTTTGTTTCATTCTTTCTCATTGACTTTTCAAATTTCAAGCTTCCTCAAATATTGTCTGATTGGCTATTTTGGTGTTTCTAGGAGTTCATGATTCTCCCTGTTGGTCGATGGGTGTGGAAGTTTACCACAACTTGAAGGTAAATCTCCAATACTTAAATCAATGAATATACAAAATTCATGTCTTCCTATTTACAGCTGCTGTAAATTGCAGTGGGAATTGCTTGAATAATTACTTTGGACTAAAATGATAATACATGTTTTCTTTTATGACTTAACAATCTTCTTGGCCTCATGTTTTTGCAGTCTGTGATTAAGAAGAAGTACGGACAGGATGCCACAAACGATTGGTGATGAAGGTGGATTTGCACCAGACATTCAGGAAAACAAGGAAGGTCTTGAATTGCTCAAGACTGCTATCGAGAAGGGTGGCTACACCGACAAGGTCTGTCTCTTACCTGTCCTTTTCCCCTGAAACATAGTTTAATTGAAATACTCTTGCTGTTATGATTCAATTGCTTGGTTATATGTTGTTGAGGTTGTTTCAATCTTACTCTGGTATATGTTGTCCTTCGACCAGATTTGATTCACAAATCAGAACCTATAACAAGAGCAACGGATTCGTAAACTCAATGAGAGAAACAAAATAAAGCTGTACAATGAATCTTATTTCCGAGAGGTACGTCTTGCAGCTTAGCCCAACTGATCCAAACTTTAAGGTAGATTTCTCTGAATGTATTGCATGAAGAGGGCTACACTCTTAAGATTAGTCTCACTCATCATGAGAAACATTCTTAGCATATTTTCTTTTGCAGGATATAAATCTTTTTCAAGTAAATGAAGGACTCGAGACGAACTCCATATAAAGGTTTGTTCTCAGAGCTACTTTCTATCACATAGGCCATTCATTTCCCTTATAAGAATGTGTTCAACAAATGCATAATTCCTGTGATTGTCTCCAACCAGAAACTCAACACTTGGACTAACTAAACTTCATGCCAGTGCTTATAGATTACGCTAGAGAGAGATGCATAATACAAGTATACAACTTCATTTCACACTACATGGTTCCAACGAAACTTAAGGAAGACCTAACAGGTTCAAGGACCAATTTGCTTCTCTTCATCTTTCATATTGAGATTTCGTCACGATAATGGATCCACTAATTTATTAGGTTCTTGTGTGTTAATAACCAACTCAATATAGCTTTTTTCCTTGGTTCATTTTATATAATTTGATCACAATATTTTACGTGTCCATGTTTTTTTTAAGATGATGTTTTCATGCTTAGCTACCCTCAGGAGAGTAGAAAATATATTGATGAACATTTGGTAATTTTGCTTGATTTTCGAGTTGCATATGAAGTAGAAACAAATCGTAAAGCTTTTATACGATGAGACTTGGTTGAATTTTTATTTTTATATTGTCATTTTTCTTTGTCATTAGGTTGGTGGAGATGTTGAATTGGAAAGATCTGCAAGAGGAAGAGATAAGGAGATCAGCGGCTGATATACTATCGAAACTCGCCGGGAAAAAGCAATTATAAAATATACTATAATATAATTGTTTTGATTCATAGGTGAAAGCTGAAAAGTGTGGCAGCGATGATATAAAAGCAGTTTGACGTTCTTTTTAATCCTTCTTGCTTAGTCTTCGAAAATTAAGCAACTGTGGTTTCATGGCTGAAGATGATAACCGCAGTTGGAATATATAATGGTCTTGAACTCTAAATGCATTTCCATATAGTTTCATCATTTCTGTAAATGTTGAATTAACAAGTATTTCTTAAGTTTTTTTGGGTTCAAATGTTGAGACTTAGAACCATCTTCTCTGTTTAATATGATGTTACACGACTTATTTGGCCATGATGACTAGGCAAATTGCCAAGAACCTGCAGAGAACCCACATTTTAAAAAGAGATGTGTGATTTCGATCTCTGATGGACAAAGGACATATTCTGCTGCCACGTTAATTGCCCAACGTTAGAGTCTATCTTTATTGGGTGGCCAAAAATAAAAGTATCTAAAAAGAGAAGAATTTCTGAAGTTTATTTTGTTGATTTCTTATTCTTCTCTCTTTCACATGATAACTAGCATTTCAGTGTACATGCAAAACAAATATGTTACAGTTAGAGTTGGTTGTTCCGATTTACTTTGGTGTGTTGTTGGTTTTTGTCCAGATTATAAAAATCGACAGATGAACAAAATAACATGTTACCATCATTATTTACTTAGACGGTGAAAGTTACTCTAATGTAAATACATTTTATTGAAGTTATTATTAACTCCACAAAACAATATATTTGCCATAACTACGAAAATTGTATTAAATAAAGATCTAAAAACTACATTAATTTTGTATACATTACAGTACTAGGTAGGTTTTACTTTCTATAATTTTAAGAGTCTTATGATATGCATTTTATATATAAGCACACATTATCCTCCAAATATAAATCATATAACAACCTAGACCTAATGAAATAACCCGGGCGTAGCCCGGACAAGCCTCTAGTTAATTCACTGAACACTGTTTGTGAAGTGCCATTTGAAGAAAGGCATATATGTTAGCTCTAGAATGAGCCCCACTCAAAAAATTCCATAGCATGAAGAAATTTATTTGTATGTGGTGCAAGAATAAAATAACATGTAAACTACTACTTGGAAAGTAGAGATTATGAATGAAATAGTTGTCGAAAAGTATTTCAGTATATTAAAGAAACTTGGTTTTGTATGTATTAAAAACTAAATAAAATAAAATAAAGAGAAAAAAAGAAACTGATAAAAAATAAGATGTTGAAAAAAAGAAAAGATTGATAATACAAAATGATGAAGAATACAATATGAAATAAGAAGAAAAATCTGTATACAAATAAAGAAAAGATGAAAGTTGGAAGAAGACGGAAAAAAAAAAGAATTAAAGAAAATGTGAACAATAAAGAAGTTAAAAAAATCAAAACATAAAAAAATAAAGAATAAGAACACAAAGCCAATTGAAAAACTAAAAGGGAAAAACGAATAAAAACCAGAAAATAAAAAGATGACGATGAAGAGAGAGGAAAAGAAAAAGAGAATAGAAAATTTGATAAGAATAATAAAAAATGGTAGAAAATTAAGGTAAAAATATGAAAGAAGTAAAAGAAAAATTAAAAGAAGAAGATAAAATGGGGTTGGAGTTTACGATGTACGGCTTATATTGATGAGTGTAAGATTTAGTTTTTGATGCGTTTTAAAAATATTGAATACAGTACATTACCGATATTAAAAAAAAACTTCTTTTAAGAAAAAAATAAAAGATAAAAGCAAGTTCAGAATATGTGGGTTTCGGGTTTATGGTGTAGGTTGGGGGGGTTGTTACACTGTGGGGTTTAGGGTTTATATTGATGGGTGTAGGGTTTAGTTTTCGGTGCATTTAAAAAAAAAACTAAAACAATTACATTCACAAATACAAAAAAAACTAAAACAATTAAAGAAAATC